TCGCTGTCTCACTCTATATCTGTCAGTACACGGAAAAAATATCATATTGCACCGGATATTAGTGGATCCATTTTTCAAGTAGAAATGTTCATATGTTCTGAGCGTTTTTGAATAGTGGATAATTCTTATATGGTAGCTTTCTTTTTCCTGATATTATATATTTCTTTAATTAAGAATTCCTATATTCCTATATCATTAGAGTTATACTATATAATAGACCATAAATAAGTAAAATAGTGTATATAGTTTATTTAGTTATAGAAATAGGAATAAAAAAATTAAGATTTTAAATTTATTAAGCAATAATATGTTTATAACTAAAAAATAATCAGAGCTGGGAGATACTATTAAATTTTTTTCCGTATACAACTAAAACAGGTCTCATGTGCACACGTGTTAGCTGTTGTACTAGGTAAGCACTTCCCATTAAAAAAATTAGCCGTGTATAAATAGAAAACAAAAGTCAAATTCTAATGATTAGTTGGCGAACAAAGCTTTTTTATTTTGGGAGAGCGCGAGAGCTTTTGCTTTGGGGGCAGCGATCGGTCGATCTATTGTTGGATGGATTAACGACTTGGACTAAGTTTAAAGTACATGTGCCAATGCAATTGTAAAAATGCTGACAAACCAAAATGATCGTCATAATCGAATCTAATCAGCAAATCAAATGGGGAATTGCAAGTCAAAGTCTGATTGGAGCCAGTAGAGCAAAGTTACCATGTGGAGCTTAATTTTGCGTGTGTGTGTTTGCTGGGTATGTTCGTAGTATTAGTTGGAGGCTCGTCTGGTTTGCCAAAAGCAGCAACGTCACCACGCACACACAGACACTCGAATAAAAATTCAGCTAAATATATATGTAAGAAAAGTATAGTTGATATATGCACAGAAAAAACAGGTCGCCATGGAATCTAAATGCGCATGTGGAATAGATATAACAATTTTTCATTTCAATTTCATTGCGTCTGATAACAAAAGTTTAAATATAATGAATTTGTAAGTCTAACATAATAGAGAAAAGCATAAAATTAATTAAATTAATTATATTAAGCCAATTTTTCTATCTAAATCTGTAACAAATGGTTAAGTTTTTATATATTTGTAATATACAAATTGAATGATATCCCAAATAAATCTGACATTAATAAATTTGTTAAATAAAATCAAAAATCGTTAAATAGATTATTTTTTTCTGTGTATATATAAAAACAAAATACTTTTTTGGGTGGGCGCGTGACGAATAAAATAAGGGAAAGAGCGAGAGGGTGGCATCACATGCTTAACTTAACTTATTGGTCTCATTTTGGTTTACATATTTTGATATCTTAGCGCTAATTTTAGATGCCAAAAAAAGAAAAGAGACACAAAAGAGATCACATAAGGCGAGCTCTCTTTTACCCACTCTCTTCCTTTTCGCTGAAATTGATGTGACTCCAACACCAATTAGATAAATAAGCATTTAATGCTTTTTGCCATTTGTTTCAATTTGACTTGGTCGAAGTTCTTTAATTAGCGCCTGGAAAATTTCCGCTCACGTACAACAGTTTGTTATATTTTTATTTTTACAGTGGACCCTCATTGGAAAAGTCTGATGCAATAAATGCGCAATTGCATCAGCTTTTGAATCGCGCGCCTGCGCCACCTCACAAATTTCATAGGTTGATGCACTCTCTTTGGGCTTCTCTTTTTTTGGTCGTGCTGTTGCCAGGTGCTCCACCTTCTTTCCTACCCCTCCTCCTCCTTGCATGGCTTTATAGCCCCATCTCTTTTCATACATATATATATGCTCCTCTCCTTCTAGTGAATACGTGCAGCTGGGGGCTCGTCTCTTTTGGCATTTTTCTGCGCTTGTCTCGGCTTTTCTGTTGTGGTTTTCGCTTATTTTTTACACTGGTGAAGCTACTAAAAATAGATAAAATAGGAAGTGGGTCTGTGATTTGCGAGTACAGTTCGGTAATTACGTGCAAGCTCCGTGCCAATTACGTCATGTGCTGGGAAACAGAACTGATAGGCCTATCTTCCGAAAGATAAGTTAAAAGCCTTGAATGCGAAAACCCTGTAGATATTAACACCTCATTATGCTATAATGAATCATCTAAAAAGAGCCGTCCTCATGGATAATATCACCAAAAAAAACAAATATCATTGTGGAATTTCGAGAGGTGTATTAACAGATTATTTTTCGTAAGTTAATTAGTGTCCGGAATGGTTATATTAATTATTTGAATACTCTTTTTTAAAATAAGGAATCGATTTTTAAAATATTTTTTTTTTTAAGGTTCAATCCGTTTTTTTTAGTGCTGTTTTAAATTCAAACCTTCAGTACTCCTCTTTTGTGCAATTATTTCGAAGTTCAATGCACTTTCGTTTTTTTCAACCACTTTAAATTCCTATTTCGCCAGCTCATTTTCTCTCTTTTTTGCCCTCTCCAAAGATCTTTCACTCCCTCTCTCGATTCCTGTCAATCAAGTTTTGTATTCAAACATTTTTTGCTTCTCGGTTTTTTCGACCTTCCCGTACAGATCGAGAAACGACCAAATCCATCAAAATTTGTGAGCCTTAACTATTGTTTGTGTCATTACTTTTGCTCGATACCGGCTGAGCCTTGAGTCATGCCAAAAACAACAGATTGCCGATCCAATGTGAACCGATCGAAACTTCGACTCGAGGGCAAATGACGGTCGATGGAAATGGAAATGCCGAAATATCGTACGCGTGCTACAAAAAATCGTGATCAAAAAACTTTCCGTTAATTGTACAAAATATTTAATCAGAGGCGCAGATTAACAGGGGGTCCCGATTACAAAGCAGAGGCTTGTCTTAAAGTTTACGAATTTGGAGGCCTATTTTCTGATAATAATGATATCTGTTTTTTAATGCTAGGTAATGCGTTTGATTTAAAATATAATCTAACGCGTGAGTAATAACGGGTACACTGATAATGTTATAATTCTTAATTTAGATTTATAACCTTGGCGAGGAAAAAGTATAAGTTATTTATTGTTTAATAAAGATTAAAGTTCACATAAAAATGTTGCCTACAGAAAATCCTCTTTTCTTTATTGTGGGATTACAGAAAAAATATGCAGCGGAAAGACGTTTGAGAAATAGAAACAATCAACATACCCGTAATCGTCGCAAATAAAATGAAAGTTAATCTCTATTAACTGATGTTAAACCGATCGACAGATTATTTGGTTGGTAAGTTAATAAATCATACTGTTGAAATACAAATTCTAGGTATTTCTGTTGGTCATGGTGACCTCTTGTGACCGCCAGTTTCGAGCAATGCGTCCGTATCTGTTTTGTTTTTAGTCGTATCTGTATCTGCAAATAAAATGAAACCGGCTGGCGTGCCTGGTACCTAGAAATTGTGTCGTCTCATTGCGCGTAATGTTTATGCCATGTTATGAAATAGAGAGACGAGCCCCCCGCGATTTTTGGAGGCGCGTTTGTCATTTTAAACCGAAATGAAAATAAATAAATCAATAAAATAATAATAAATAATCGAGAGCTCGCCGCAGAGACACGACGCACTTGTCCTGGTTAATTATTTGCCTAATGCTTATTTCCCCCCATACAACATCGCATCATCCATCATTGTTTGTTTTGGTTGCACTTGCGTCAGGCCCCCGAAAAACTAAAGTGAGTGAATTGATATTGACAGCGGATAGCGGACAAGGAGCCACACGCAAATGTTCCCCAAGGCTTCCAGAAATTTGCACGCGCCTCAAAGTCAATTTAATAACAATCAATTGAAAATATGTGTGTAAATAAAAATCAATTGGCAAGCACTCACACAATGCCACCGAGGAACTCTCAGCATCCAGGCCGCAATGGCCAATTGGTCATTGAGCATAACATAACCATAACTATAACCACGTAGCGGCCAAAACAAATCAATAAAAATATAAACTATTAAGAAAATGCGAGAACACCGACATAACACTTATCCTATTACTTTGTTTTTTTTTCAAAAAATTATACTCTTATCATCATTATCCATTAAACGAACTTAAATACAAAATATCTTCTGGCCGAATTTTTTTTGTAGATTTAATAATCAGAATTTTATTTGATTAAAAGGAAAAAAAACTTGAAAGTTATTTGTGTAAATTTTGATAAGAAAGGTGATTAAACTATACACGGACACCATTATTAAGACCAAAATCTTTTTAAACCGAATAACTATATTATTTGGTCATAGGGATAAGAAAAATAGTGAATGGAATTAGAGATCTTAAACAGTTTTGTATTTTACAGGAAGAATTATTAATAAATCCATGAAATCGATTAATGTTATTATTCGTGACAGAACGTGATTTATATATATATATATATATTATACAATTTTTTTTTATTTAGTAATTTATTACTTTGATAACAACAAAATTTTAAAAAAATGTTTTTTTAATTAAAAGTTTTGTCGTAGAAATAAGAATGTAAGGGATCCTATGCAATGACACAAATTAAGTGTTCAAATGGGGTTTTACAAATTATTGCACACTTTTTGGCGCTTAAAACTTCTTTAAAGTATTTTAATTTTGTTTACATGTCCACATTAGCTTTAAGGATGTTGGCCAAGCCAGGAGGGCCTCTCCTCGAAAAGGGTATAAAAATGGGTTTTGGATGGTGCCACTGGGTCGCGAGTTGCGACTTCTCTTCAAGAACACGCGTCATCCTCTCTCGCAGCCTCCAAATTGCAGGAGCAACAACTACAATTGAGACACCTACAACTAGGAGGCGTCCCACACACACACGCAAACACAGACAGGCCCCATTCATTCATGCCTTCTTTTCGACCTTCGTTCGATGGCTCTCTTTCTCTTTTAACAACCAACTCTCTCCCCAACACTCACCCATACAAACGACAAAAAGAGCGAGAGACCCAAAGAGAGTGCCTGTTTTACCGTTGGGGAAACAACAAAAAGCTCGAGCGAATGTCTCTTCTTCTTCCCCCACGAAATCGGTGTGCGCTATATAAACGTTGCGCATTCGAATCTCGAACTTCAGTGCCACAATAGTGGATATCACATTTAGTAGTTTGTTCCAAAGGTAAAGAGACCATAAAAATCGCCGCAAATTTTATCTAAAAACTAAAAGCGAAAAAGACCAAAACACAGTGTTACATTCCAGTTGGTTTATTTATAGTTTTAGTTTCCGAGCAGTTCCGGTCGCCACTTTATCGTGTTACTCAAGAAATTTTTAACAAACTATACAAAAATAAAATAAAATAAGCACAGTCTCTAGGCTGTCTGGCATATAAAAAACTTGCCAATTTATGCGCATTTTTTGCCTACTACGTCAAACTAAGAAATATTTATGAACCAAATTTTAATGAACCTGCCTGTGGTCTGCAAACTATTTTACGTAATGTGCGAAAAATTGTTGTAAAAGAGCAGCAACAAACGAAAAAGAAATGACAAAAACTATTTTGCCAAGGGTAAAATGCAATTTTCGAGGAAATAAGAAAAGTCGAGAAACAACTTTTGGGAGAGTGGCGACCGTGAAAATTCTTAAATTTAGACAAGAACACTTGGTTTTTATCTCCTGCTAATTTTCGATTGTGAATTTCTGTGTGGCGCGCAAAAAGTGAAAACAAAGTTCGAAAAAAAAATTGCAATTTCAAATTCGACTGCGTGGGCGTTCTTTTGCGCTAATTGAAGCGAATTTACTTATAATACTCGTCTGGCGGCTGCCTTTTGTTAATTGTAATTTCGATTACGGTCTTGTTAATCTGCTGTCAGCATGAAAAACGTTTTATAAAAATAAAATTGCCCGCAAGATCATGACGAATAATAAATACAAAATACAAAATCGCAACGTTGCACTGTTGACGTAGGCTTTTCACCTGTGTAGGTTGTAGGTTTGGATGTGTGTGTGTGAGAGAACGGGGTTCATTCGGCACGTGAGTCGATTTTGTTAAGAGAACGACACAGCTGGTTAAAGAGCGCTTTGGCTTAAGCCAGTCTTAAGAGCGCCCGCGCAAAAGAAACGTGCTGCGATCTCTTCGCCCGCAGGCCCCCAAAAATATGTGTCATTAAACGCCCACCCGCCCACACACGCCTCCTCAAGGTCAATGGCAACTTTTAGCGCCTTTCGCGAAAGAATTTGCATATAAACACAGCCGTTGCAATTGCGTTTTAGACTCGCGAAAAGAAAAGCGCAACACGGTAATGAATTAATTAATGGATAACTAAAAAGTCGTCATGCGGCGAAATATTATTAGTTTGCCCATTAAAATTAACTAATTATAGAGGAAAACCCACACAGAATTTTTATATTTCTGAGTATTCACATTTCATAAGAAATGTTTCATATTTCTCATATTTTTTTTTTGCTAAAATAAATACAGTTTTTATAGATAACACAATCGAAACCTAGAAAAATTATACAGAAAAAATATAATGTTTACACAATTAACTAAAATCGTTAAATTAATTTGGTGTTTATACGTGTTACCAGATATATAACTAAATAGTACAAATAATAAGTGCATCAAATTTGGCACATACAAAAATCTTTGTGAATGGCATTAATAATTTTTTTAAAACTATTATTTATAAAAAAATGTTTGGAAATGATGTTAATTATTCTTAATATTTTTCCCAGTACCTTCAATTAAAGTTTCGGGTGGGAGATAGACCTAGCGTTATGTCACGCCTGCTGATATTTGCAGGGAATTCCAAATAAAGAATAGAATCGCAAAAAAAAACTGACACCCACTTTTCCACCGAGAGAATGAAAATGAAAGGGGGAGTGGCGGGCGAAAAAGCGGTAGCAAAAGAAACAGAGACAATCGTCGACGTCATGGCGCCCACACATTTTGTTTGGCATCACATGACGCAAAGTCAATGGTCAAAACAAATAAAAAGAAACGACAGCTAAAAACTTGCCGAAATCAAATAAATAAAAAATATTTCAATATTTTCCTTTTTTTCCGCGATGTGGTCATTAATCAGCTAATATATGTACAAAGAAAAGTGGGTGGAAAATTTTTGAAATAGGTATTCCATTTATATTTTTTAACAAACCTCCGCATGCCAAATCTAAAAGGCCATAAATAAATTTCACGTTGCCGGGAAAATCAGCCCCCACATACAAAATTTGTGAGAAAAGTAAATAAAAACAACTATATGTTGAGGAAAACACCGCCTCCATTGTGGCTATAAAGTTGGTCACATGTGGAAATCAAGGACACCCGATATAAAAAAGTGGGTGTGTTGGGTGCTAAGGGGCTCGAGCGTTATCTAAAAGCCAACCCATATATTCTTAGCGATAACAGCTCAGACATCAGACGATTTTAAGTAGACAAGCTATCTGTAATACTGTAATTCTTTTATAATACCAAACTTATTTATTCAGTTTGTGCAATTTTCAAACATCACACCATTTCAATTAATACACAATAATACTATAGATAGTTGCGCTATATCTATGCATTTGAAGTGGGCGATAATTATCAAACAAAATTATAAAAGCAATGCAATTTTGCCAGACATCAACCAATTAAAACTATTGATAACAAAAAACTAAAGTGGGAAGCTATTGGTGAGCAACATTATCAATATTGTAAGAGTTATTGATAGACATCCGAAAATAGGAAAGTGCTTAACATACAACTGATAGCTGAACCGAAAATATAAAGTAGTATTATTTAACTTTTTTAACTCTTTTTGATTTTCTCTTTCGTTACAGCAAAGACAAAAGAAGTCGCATTAATCAAGAGGATAACCCATTGATTACTTCGCCAAGTGGAAGACACCAAAACAAGTGAAAGTCTGTGACAACAACAAACTTCCTCAAGGAAAACCCTAGCAAATCACTAGTTCAAGTTCACCTATAGAGCCATAGAGCTGATAAGATGAGTGGACGAGACAATAGAGGAGCCGGCGGCGGAGGCGGCGGTCATCAACCGCTGAGTAGCGCCATGGGCAAGCTCAAGGAAAAACTAGCCCGAGTAGGTGTAAGTATCTCAATAACATTTATATTGGGGTAATCAACAAGCCTGAAACCCGAACCCCAATCTATGGGTAATCTAAAATGAATAGAAAGTGAGAAAGGCTTGAAAGTTTTAAAAATCATCAAGTAGATATTTTTTATATCCTAAATTAAAATTTTTTTTTGTTTTTTTAATAATTGCATTTACTAAAACATGTATTATTAACCAAAATTCGAAATTTTTAAATATTCAAATTTCTTTTCAACAATATAAGCTGATGCAAATCAATCAATCAAACAATATTTAAATATGCATTAAAAACATTTCATCAAATAAATATAAAAAATTTATTGTCTTTCTGAACTTTTGATGACTATAAGTTGTTTATTTCCGGAAGAAATTAAAAAGTACAGCCAATAAAAAGTAAAACAATGAACACTAATTGTTGTGATGTGTTATACATACTTATTAAACAATTCGCTGAGTGCCGAAAACAAGAATTATAGAAGCAGCATCTAGTGCGCACATGACCGATAATGCTGGACCTCTTGCAACCTTTTGGGATTGGTGTTCAAGAACAGATCTCGCGACTTAATCGCAATGATTTCGGGCGGTTCACAGCGGATTCTTGTCAGGGAAGATGGGCTGGGCTTTATAGGAATGCCACGCTTTATGATTCGATTTAATTAATTCGCGACCGTCTGTCGATTCAATTCGATTCGATTCACAGGACGAGCTGGGCTATCATCGCGTGGAGAGCAATCTGTCCACCTCGAATACAGCCACCAGTTTGGACACAATTCTCCCCGAGGATCCGTTCCCCTTCCCCCAAGTATCACCTCAAAGGCATCCGCAGACGGTAAGGACACAGCGTTTGCTGGAGGACGAACCACCGCTATCGTTTCGCCCATTATTGGATGACGTCGACATCAACGAGCCACCCACACAGCAGCAACAAAGGACTCCCCTGCGCGCCAGTGGTAGTTTGGAATTAACTCCTCTGCCACCACCGCCCACATCCTTGGAGATCCGTGAACATCGCGATCGCCAGCAGAGAGGTGCCCAAGGTGACGATCTGCAGCGCAGCAAGCAGAGCTTGAAGGGATCAAGAGTGTCCTTCGAGCGAAGGGATACCGGAAACAGCAATACCAATACCAAAGCAGCGGAGAGCAGTGACGAGGACAGTTTCGAGGAGAAGAGATCTGGTTTCCAGCAACAGAAGGCCACGAGCGTCGATCACAAGGGTATCTTAAAGGACCTCAAGCACATATTGGCCAACGACAATCGCCGGCAGTTTCAGGCCAAGAAACACGTCTCCTTGGACGTCAAGGGTACACGCTTTTTGCAAGATCTACTGAAGGAGTCGTCCTCGGAGGAGGAGTTCCACAAGACACGTCGGGAGTTCCAGGGACGCAAGCACCAGAGTTTGGATCCACGCGTCACCTTCAAGCTCGATAAGGTTCTGCAGGGTTCGAGTACCGACAGTGACGAAGAAGGCGACGACCCCGAACACAAAAGGTTGATTCATCGGCCCAAGGACATCACCAAGCCGGTGATCATCGATCTCAAGGATCTGGAGAGCGAAAGCGACGAGGACTTCTTAACGTCACGTCAGCACTTCCAGCAGCAGCGTTCCATCAGCACAGACTCCCGCAAAAGGTGAGTGGCATTAATTATATTATTCTTAAAATCCCATGAGTCCGTCCCCAAAAGTAGACAAATAGCACTGAGTTGGAAATCCCCGATAGGTCAAAGCCGAGGGTTATCTTTAAATGGACTTTGAATATAGCAAAAATTAAATGAAATTAACATTAACGCAACGGGGGCCTTGGCAACTACATATATTTAAAAAATCAAATGAAATCTCAAAAGAAAGTAAAATAAAGAGATATATATTTCTAAAGTAATAAATACTTTGGATATCAGCGTATCAGTTAACGATTTGCGCTATCATATATAGTATTTATGACATAGAAAAGGTGTCATTAATCAAATATTTCCAGGAACTGATAAGTTCTTTCCATTAAATTCCAAGAAATGTTATCAAATATATTATATATCAAAAGAATTATACAACATAGTTTTAAAAGCATAAGATTACATTAATTTAAAAGAAACATGAAAATGAAAGTGAAACACTAAAAATAAAAAACCTGCCTTTGAAATCAGATCATGAATCACCAAATTACGGTAGTTATTTCAAAGAATTGATAACAAAAGTAGGTCCCAAGTCTACTATGACTTGCAAACAGTGTTCAAAATAAACAAATAATTAAATGGTACACACGTCAAAATAAAACCGTAGTAAATAGTGCGGACAACAATCTGTATAATTGAATAGTTAGCTCTTCGCATTTCCAAGATTGCTCTCAAGCTATTTGCGCACTTTCGTTGATCAATTTAATCCAAGTGGCATACAAATTGGTATGCCCACGCTGCTTGGACTATTTTGAGCGATCCCATAGTATCTCCGGCTCGGGCTAATCCGCCGTACACGCGCCTACGCAATGAGCCGGACAATAAATGACTGTTAGCTACAGGCAACTGTTAGCCTTCCAATACAAAACTGACACGCATTTTGCAACTTTCTCCTCCCGCAGCCGCCGACTGTACGAGATGGACGAGATGGGCAACAAACGTGGCGAGAACATCCGTCATGCGGTGCCCTTCGTGCGCCAGATAACCGAGGATGGCAAGCCCAAGCTGGAGGTCTACCGCCCCACCACGAATCCCATCTTCATATGGACTCAGGTAGGTCGGCCACTCATGCACTCACAGAAAAAACATCGCTTCATCGATCATAATCTTAATAATTTCGTATTTAGTAGTAGGGATTTAGAGGATTTAGGAGATGTTCTGGATTTGAGAAAGACTTATTGGTTACAAATATCAAATAAATTTTAAGTGAAACTCAAAAGTGTTTCCCAAATTCCCAAAGACTTTCAAACAAGGTGGTGAAAATAATGAATGAAATTAACTAGAAATCATACAAAGTTAGAAGGAACAAATTATTCCTCAACTAGTGGGTTTGAACTCGGCCTATTCGTTGCCTAATTGACTACATCACCTAAAAATTGTTTTCTTTTTATCCTGATCATTTTCTTTTAAAAATTTCAGAGTTGTTTTTCTCTATAAAGAACATAATCAACATTTTTCAAATCAAGAACTTTAGTTTTTAGTTTTAAATTGTTTGTTCTAAACATTTCTAAGTGTACTCCTCTGGGGCGGCATAGTGAAATCCAGCAAGGGGCGGTGGAGGACATGTATTGTCCGCTCGTTAAGCTCGTTGGCGCCTCCCGGGTCCCGAGATTATGAATGGCATTAATGCGACCATAAAGCACTCGTTGAGCAATTTAAGGGGCCTCCAGATTGAGCTACGAGCGTGTGGGCCATTTGAGCTATTTTTTCGCACGATGCCGCCGCATTTGAGTCTGAGTCGACGCTTTTGCCTTAATTGAAATTAACGCATTTAGTTATGGCCGGACTAAAAATATCGCTAACTGCCTGATGGATGGATGGATGGATCGGATTGTATTGGATCGGAATAGATTGTGTGTGTGCTGAGAGGTAAACTCTGACAGCTGAACTTGCAACTTCTGCCGCATGTTTGGCAGTTGCAGTTTTGCACTCGAGCTGGCGACTTTCGCTGAAACAGCCTCAAACCGCTTTTCGAAATCCGGCGTAACGCCTTTGCCTTTGTCTTTGTCGAAGGAAAAACAAACTGATAAGCTGGGTCTTGATCGAACGCTTGGGAACAGAATCTCTCTCACATAAGCGATATCGATCAGCACTCGGTGGCTTCGTGTACGTGCCTGAGCCTAGTAAAATCACGGCAAAAACTGTTCTCAAAAACTAAAAACTAGCGAAAATGCAACTGCCGTTGCACTCGGGCAAAATGACAAGTTTCAGTTGAGTTTTGACGAGCGAACGCGCCGAAAGCATTCCCAATTCCAAGGAGCAAAGTGAAAGGCAGCCAGCCAAAGCTAAATCAGCTAAATCCGCAACCTTGTTGCCAACCAAAAACGGTTTTAATTCGAAATCGCAGATAGAGAAAAAGCTGCGGAATGAAGATCCTAATGCGAGCGGACACCCATGTGTCCTTCTCCGTTCCCGTGGAGGAGCCCAAGGCCATTTGTACCTTCTCCCAGGTGCCTGTCCACAATACATCACATAAAATCCCATCAAATTCCTCCTCCGAAAACTTTAGCCCTTACTAATCGAAATCATAATCTTGTATATTTCCAGGTCCTGGCCGCTTTGAGCGTTTCGTTGGGCTCCCTAGTGGTCGGATTTGTCAGCGCCTATACTTCTCCTGCTCTTGTGTCGATGACCGATAGGAATATCACCTCGTTTGAGGTCACCAAGGAAGCTGTAAGTACAGTACACAAAGATAATCTAATTCGTAGAAAAATGTTGAGTTCTTAAAGCATTTCACAAGAAAATGTAAAACTGCAGATTGAAAACTGGAAAAATAACTATGAAAAAACTATTATTGTTCATTTAAAATTTGCAATACCCAAATAAATAATATATGTAATTCCAAACGTTTTCAGAGTTATCAACTAGAATTTCTTCAGAATTTGTAATCAATAAGAATATTATTTTTATATTTATTGAAATCAAATAAAATAAATTATTTTAGAGCTTCTTAGTGCAGAAATATCCAATCTAAAGAAATGAGTGAAAAAACAGATTAACTACCAGAATAAAATTTTTTTTTTTTTTTCTAAATTGAAGACTGAAAATTCCTTTAATTTTAATCAAATTCCCAAGGAATTGCAAATTTTAAAGATTTGTAGTGCATTAATGAGTTAATTTTCTAAACTGAATCCTAAGTAATCTCTCGAAATTCTCTTCTAATTGCAGGGTTCCTGGGTGGGTGGCATAATGCCGTTGGCTGGATTGGCAGGTGGCATAGCTGGAGGACCTCTAATTGAGTATCTTGGCAGACGAAACACCATCCTGGCCACCGCAGTGCCTTTTATTGTATCCTCGCTGCTGATTGCCTGTGCGGTGAATGTGGCGATGGTGCTGTGTGGTCGATTCCTGGCTGGATTCTGTGTGGGCATTGCCTCGTTATCACTGCCCGTTTACCTGGGTGAAACTGTGCAGCCGGAAGTGCGCGGTACTTTGGGTCTGCTGCCGACGGCTTTTGGTAACATAGGCATTCTCCTATGCTTTGTGGCCGGCACCTTTATGGACTGGTCGATGCTGGCCTTCTTGGGAGCAGCTCTACCAGTGCCTTTCCTGGTGCTAATGTTCCTGATCCCGGAAACGCCGCGCTGGTTTGTGAGCCGTGGACGAGAGGAGCGTGCCAGGAAGGCTTTGACCTGGCTGCGCGGCAAGGCGGCGGATGTGGAGCCGGAACTGAAGGGCTTGATGCGATCCCAGGCCGATTCCGATCGTCAGGCCACGCAGAACACCATGTTGGAGCTGCTCAAACGCAACAATCTGAAGCCTCTGTCCATTTCCTTGGGCCTGATGTTCTTCCAACAGTTGAGCGGTATCAATGCGGTGATCTTCTATACGGTGCAGATCTTCAAGGACGCGGGCTCCACCATCGACGGCAATGTCTGCACGATCATCGTCGGTGTGGTTAACTTCTTGGCCACCTTTATTGGCATTCTGCTGATTGATCGGGCGGGCAGAAAGGTGGGTTTTCAAGCTCTCAAAATATGACATCCCTTTGTTACCTAATTGTTTTTATCTCTTCTTTAGATTCTTCTGTATGTGTCCAACATTGCCATGATCCTGACCCTGGCCGTTTTGGGTGCCTTCTTCTACTGCAAGGCCCATGGTCCGGATGTGAGCCATCTGGGCTGGCTGCCTTTGAGCTGTTTCGTCATCTACATCCTCGGATTCTCTCTGGGTTTCGGACCCATTCCGTGGCTGATGATGGGCGAGATTCTGCCGGCCAAGATTCGCGGATCTGCGGCCTCGGTGGCCACGGCTTTCAACTGGAGCTGCACGTTTGTGGTGACCAAGACCTTCGCGGACCTCACTGGTGAGTACTGCTTACTACACGTAAAAAAAAAGGGCTGTTTAATAATTGTGTTTTAATTTTTATGTACAGTTGCCTTGGGCGCCCATGGAGCCTTCTGGCTGTTCGGTTCCATCTGCTTCGTCGGCCTGTTCTTTGTGATATTCTACGTGCCCGAAACGCAGGGCAAAACCCTGGAGGACATCGAGCGAAAGATGATGGGCCGTGTGCGCCGCATGTCCTCGGTGGCCAACATCAAGCCATTGTCCTTCAACATGTAAACGGCGTGTTGCCAAGGATCTGAATATGCGATCAAACCAAATACTAGACTAGTGCCTTTAGTGCTTAAGAAACGCGTGTGTGTAAACGCAGTGGGTGATCCTGACATGAGCAAAAAACAAAAGGAATACTTCAAGGAACCCATCCAGGCGCTCTGATATTGTTAGTCCTAGCTAACTTGTAATGCTTAGCAAAAGAATTTCCTTTCTACACGCATAATTGTTATTATTATTTATAATCCTTAAGTGCATAGTTTTATTATGTAAATTATGATTTTTAGCACTAATTTGTTGACATTTTTTTATGAATGTTGCGTGAATTTATCGGTGTAAAAAAATGACATGAATCGTAGTTAGTTGTAGCGAAAAGTAAAACCCAAAAAAGACCCAAATCTCCCTGAAAAATACACCAATTGGCTATATATCGAATATATATTGTACTATACCTAAGCTGTAAGTGTATCTATATGTAGACTAATTTAAAATACAAATCAAACCAAATCCAAAGTTACGTTTACTTTCGTCGAAAAAATCGCTAAAAATGAGCGGAAAAATCGCTTTGCATACGACCTTCAGAATGCGGTTTACAGTTCGAACAATGTCAGCGCCTCAGATACGTGAGTTTCATTCCGAATATGTCCCCGCACTGGGGTCTAAATATACATATATATATTGAATGTCTAGATGGCCAATCGACTAGATGGCCATTCCAGAGGCACATGAAATGCAAAAATAGAAACGCATTTGCTCGATTTTGCACCGGCAATCATTGCTAAAATCGCACTGCTGACACTCAACCGAATCGCCTCGATAAGGAGAGCATTACATGGTTTCGCCGAGGATCGGATCGTTTCAGGTTCGAATCTTATCGGTTGGCAATTAAGCGAATTCAAAATCGAATAAACAATTGCGAAAGAAGCATCTGTGCAGCGGCTGCTTGATTACAGGAATTGTTTACTTGTCAGGAATGTACTATAGTATTTATGTGGTTGCTTAAAACATACTCAATATTTTCATTGATAGCGTCAGTTAAAACTGGTAACTCAATCAGATTATAGAATTTTTAATTGAGTTTTAAAATAAATATAATGGCGAAATAGTTTCTCTCTTCAAGTGAAGTAAATAATATGCATTATTTGAGCTGATGACGGAATCGGGAATAAATGGTTAACAGATTAAAATGTTTAAACATTTAATTCACTCGTGCTATTATGAAATTTCTTTTTGAATTTAGTTCCTCAATTATTTTATATTGATTTATAGAATTCAATTCAATTTCTACTCTTGGGATCTATACTTTTAACATTGATTAAATTCAGAAGTGAAATTAAATTAAGTACAGAAACATGTTATGTTATTTGAAAAGCTTAAATAGATATAAGCAAATATTAGTAAATAGTGCAGACAACAATCTGTATAATTGAATAGTTAGATTGCTCTCAAGCTATTTGCGCACTTTCGTTGATCAATTTACTCCAAGTGGCATACAAATTGGTATGCCCACGCTGCTTGGACTATTTTGAGCGATCACATAGTATCTCCGGCTCGGGCTAATCCGCCGTACACGCGCCTACGCAATGAGCCGGACAATAAATGACTGTTAGCTAAAGGCAACTGTTAGCCTTCCAATACAAAACTGACACGCATTTTGCAACTTTCTCCTCCCGCAGCCGCCGACTGTACGAGATGGACGAGATGGGCAACAAACGTGGCGAGAACATCCGTCATGCGGTGCCCTTCGTGCGCCAGATAACCGAGGATGGCAAGCCCAAGCTGGAGGTCTACCGCCCCACCACGAATCCCATCTTCATATGGACTCAGGTAGGTCGGCCACACATGCACTCACAGAAAAGACATCGCACTCATCGATCATGATCTTAATAATTTCGTATTTAGTAGTAGGGAATTAGTGGATTTAGGAGATGTTCTGGATTTGAGAAAGACTTTTTGGTTACAAATCGATATTTAATGTGGAACTCAAAAGTGTTTTCCAAATTCCTAATAACTTTCAACAAGTTTTTAAAAGCTAGTGAAAATAATTAACATAATTAATTACAAATCATACAAAATTAGAAGGAACAAATATATTTTACAATTATTCCTCAACTAATGGGTTTGAACTCGGACTATTCGTTGCCAGTCACTTCAAAATTTTTTTTTTTTCTTTCGGATCATTTTTTTTTTAATTTCCGTAGTGGTTCTTCTCTATAAAGTAAATTATTAAATCAAGAACTTTAGTTTTTAGTTTTAAATTTTTTGTTCTAAACTTTTCTGAGTGCACTCCTCTGGGGCGGCATAGTGAAATCCAGCAAGGGGCGGTGGAGGACATGTATTGTCCGCTCGTTAAGCTCGTTGGCGCCTCCCGGGTCCGGAGATTATGAATGGCATTAATGCGACCATAAAGCACTCGTTGAGCAATTTAAGGGGCCTCCAGATTGAGCTACGAGCGTGTGGGCCATTTGAGCTATTTTTTCGCACGATGCCGCCGCATTTGAGTCTGAGTCGACGCTTTTGCCTTAATTGAAATTAACGCATTTAGTTATGGCCGGACTAAAAATATCGTTAGCTGCCTGATGGATGGATAGATGGATCGGATTGTATTGGATCGGAATAGATTGTGTGTGTGCTGAGAGGTAAACTCTGACAGCTGAACTTGCAACTTCTGCCGCATGTTTGGCTGTTGCAGTTTTGCACTCGAGCTGGCGACTTTCGCTGAAACAGCCTCAAACCAAATATAAATCCATAAGTTTGGATTTTCTATGAGTTTTATTTTTGGCCAATCAATCCGACCTACCAAATTTCATAAGGATCGGCCGACTATATCTTATAGCTGCCATATAACTGAACGATTTGAAATGCCATAACTTTGGTGTTTTTAAAGTTAGGAAGTTGGGATATTAAGAATGCATCATATGAAAAATTTTGAAGAATATAATTTACAGAATATTCTGCAAGGATATATTAACTCCGCCCGAAGTTAGCTTTCCTTTCTTGTTTTCATCTGATTTAAAATTTTACGACCGATTTAAGAAAATAACTCTATATGGATACTATAGTGAAGCGTTACAATTGACTCTCCTGGTGATGCTGATCAAGAATGTATATACTTTTTAGGTCGGAGTTGTCTCTTTCAGTGTAACAAACTTTTCACTCTAATTACTAGTATAAATATATCATTCATTTGATGTTTAAAGATCGATTGAAGAAAAAAACGATACTCGTTTTATTGGTTAAGTATGGATCTCTGTGATGTATATATTTATGATTGGACTTGATTTAAATTCTGCTCAAATTTTACAGGCACATACATATGTAATTGGAAAGGTTAACGACCTTTTGGACCTGGATTTAAAAGTAAAGTTCCCAGACAACATATATATATTAATGAATTATTTTGAAGATCTTTGATTTATATGGTGGAAGTGCCAAATCGCTGGTAAAAGTGGCAATACTTTTTGAAAGTGTATAAACTGCTGATTGTTGTTATCTGCCTTTCCCTTTGTCTTTATGGATTTAGCAAGACTTGAAATCGTTGCAGCTGCTGCCCAAGAAGAAACTGCAACCTATCACATATATCCGACTATATTTAGCGTTATTAGCAGTGATTAAAGTTTAAAAATTAGTAATTACAGACTCACCCATAACTTGAACGCGGCAAATGGCACAAATATCGCATTCTACATCCCAACTCCACATTGCAACTGCATTCCATTTCTTCAAAGTGAACATCTTTTCCGGCTTGTTGGCATCTCCATCGTCCGTGGTTCTATCCACTGAGTTTTCGGGATCATCAACCATATTTATTTATTGCAGGAATTCGCAAATATTCGCAAAAAAGTAATTGTAAACAATTGCGAGGCAAGAACCAATGTAGCCACACCAAAACACGAAGAAACAGTAACCAGTGCTGCCCCAGCAAATAAGGTCACACTTAGATATCACACTGTTTCGATAACTTTTAAATTTCCGTCGATAAGGCGGTTAGTTTGTATTTCGCATTTAGTTTTTTTGATTTGACTTCACTTTATGTTTAGTCTTCGGCGAGTTCGGAACGTTGCGGCGGCGTTTTTCGGCCACGCTTCTCAAATTTCTGCTTTCGTTGAAAAATAAACGGTTAGTTTTTTATAACAATAAAAATTATATGTGGTTTCCGGTGATTATTTACCAAAAAAAATAAAAACCTTCAACTGACAAAAGCTGACCGTGAATATTCAGCAACCTGATTCCGATTCAGATTCCATTTCCAACCAGAACGCGCCCCGCATAAATAATTAAGTAATTTCCATGCCACTCAGCCGGAATTTAACAGTTCTCCCTTATTATTCGCTCATCGTAAACTGAAATTGAAAATAGATAATAACAAGCGAACCATTATCATTATCAGCACAAATTGCGCATCCGACAATCAAAGATAAACATCCGTATCAATGCGATCCATTGCCAAATACGTGATAAGCCGATAAAAGAGGCGGTATTACCAAATAAATGTTAAGAAATTAATAACTATTATAGTGTTTTCTTAATGATAATAAAAATGATCGTCATAAAATGAAAAGCGTTACAAAAGTGTTAAAAATCTTTAACGATTTTTAAAAGTAATAAGTGGTTACTAATTTTCACTACAAAAATTAAGAAAAATATATAAGTATTGACAAATCTAATTATGTAAAAAATTAAGGGAAATATGAAAGTTCCTTTTAGTTTTACAATGATCTACTTTTGGATACAAAAATTTACAACAGTTAATACAAAGTGGCTTAAACAACTAATCATATATGTATCTAACCGTCACATGTTAAAAAATATTACCCTTAAATAAACATGTACAAAAATAAAAAAATAAAATGTTTTGTGAATCTATTATATTTAACAAAAAATTGTTTGTACTTTTTTTATGACCTCTTTCGGTAAACGAAAAATACAAACATTAAAAATAAATAAGTGAACAAATATTTATTATCAAAATAATAATGACAATTACATGTCAATATGGATAAATTCTAAAATAAATACCATTAAATATAAATAAAAACCCTAGAGTTGAACGCCCTTTTTTAACCGGAATAAAGAAGCAACAGCTGAAGGAGAAACAGGCCAACAGCAATTTTAATTTAATTAAATTTTGTTGTTTTGCCTGCGTGTTCGGTTAATGTGTATATATGCTGTTGCTTTTGTTGTTGTTTTTGATGGATAATCAGCGTAATGCTTCCACCCACATCGAAGAAAGAGATGGCAATATCGCAATTGACTTTGCCATAAATGATTTCAGTTTTTTTTTTACTTTTGACTTCGTTTTTTAAGTGTGTTTGTTTGTTTGTTTGCCGAGCGGCAAAATACGTTGGCAATTAGTGGAACGACAAATGTTTATTGACAAAGGCGTTGGACACTTTGATTTGGTCGGTCTATTCGGTGGAAATTATTTACGATTTTAAGAGAAAATTATTGCCAGTGCCACCGATCAAATGGGGGTGCTGTATTTCAAAGTTATGGCAGGGAAATTCGAGATTTCTGGTGTGTATCGTATACATTTTGCTGACTAAACCTTGAATAATATCGTATAGCTATGCATTCTTGCAATTTATAAATTAATAATAGCCTTTTAAAGCTTTTGTTTGGTGATAAACTATATAAAATGATTTTTACAATCTTTAGTTGAAGTTTATTTATATAATTTATATTATTTTTGAGTTGGCATACTTGAATTTTTAAGTCATATGCGCAGAATGAAAAAAAAACGAGATATTATTACTTCTCTTTAAATAGTGTTTTTTTTTGTGTACCAAAACTCAATATTCTTCATAAATGCAAAACTTATGCATTTGTTTTTAACTTCATGCTTGAATACTAATGCCAATTTCGAAACCCATTTGCAATCTGTCAGCTCAAGTGTTTTAAGGCAATAAAACAAGATCGGACCATACCCTATACCACTATGCCTGTATAAATAATGCAATTAACTGGCGAGAAGCACCTGTAACACCTTGCCACCCCTCTTAACCCCATAAAACCCCGTGTTTTAACGCTGTTCACGTTCGATTTGAATGACGCAAATTGGTGGCTGCAAAAGTGCAAAATCAACAGTTAATGATCTGAACAATGTTTGTCTGGGGGTGGTGTAAATTTCCAATTGCCAACGATGTCAAACAGCGACGTTTTACGGCTACTTACTTCCCATTTTCATTCTCATTCGAGCTGAGTTGGCCACAAAATAAAAAGTATAATACGGCAAAAAACAGTAAAACCGCAAGCTTGCGGCTAAAATAAACTGCCGTATTTTCGAACATTTTGTGTGTCGTTTATGATATAATATTACCACTGAGCTGTCACATCTGTCCGGCGTTCGAGTATGCAATTAAATAATGTAAAATGGCAATTTAATGAACTCCGATTTGATTAACCAATCACCAATCGAAAGTCAAATTGCTCCAAATTGTTTGTCATGCGCACCGAACTTGAGGCAAAAAGAAAAATACGTAAAAATAAACCAAATTCCAATCTGAGTCTGCGTAACTGTCAAATGTTGTAAAAAATCAATAACACAAATGTTAACATGCTCACAATGCTAAAAACGCAACCCACAAAAACGAGTCGAACAACCAATAAAATTGGCAAAACAAAAAAAAATGAAATCAAATGCCTAACGACGCTTTTTAAAGGCAACGCGGTTTGGGCCAATCCAAAACCCGAGATAAAACATTTGACACTTTTGGTTAATAAAAGTTGCTAATGAGTGCGAGCAACTCGCTGATTCCGAGATGTTGATTTAGTTATTTTTTTTAGAGTCTGGCCAATAGGAGAGCATTAAATAAATGGGTGTTGAGAGGGGTGGGCAGTGCCACTAATTGTGAATAAATCAACTAGTGTTTCGAATAATCCCATTATTTAAGTTACAAGAATTTATATAGAAACTAAACTATGTTCGATTGGAGATTGTCTTAAAGTAATTGTCTATAAAGTAATATATATGGTTACTATAAATTTGCAAGTCACTCGGATATATTTAAAGTTGTTAAAAATGTAACGAATTTAAAAGAAATTATCGCTTAATATACCTAAAAGAAATTCTATTAAATAGTGCCAAAATTTGTAATAAGTTTAAATCCTTTTTTTTCTGAATCTATATTGGTCTTAAGGTAAATTTAGGATCATATACCCATTAATGTTTTATTTCCATTGATCGAGTAAAAGAAACATAATGTTTTAATTAATCTCCAGCTCTCTGTTCCCTTTTTTGAACCTTTCAAGTTGCCAACCTCCTTTAATGATCAGCGAAATCGGCGATTGCAGTCATGAACATCGATCATCGATCCATTCATAGAACCGCAAGACAAACAGAGAGTCGCGTTTTGCTTGTCCATTGAAAATTGACTAAAATGAAGTGCGCTCATAAATATTTATTAGGCATTGCTAAACCGGGCACTAAGTAGTCGATAATTTAAGCAGACATGAAAATTGTTTAGGCCAGGTCCACTGGTCTATGTGGCCGATTTGGCTGCTGAATGAAAAGTGTAAATTGCAGCGGCAAGTGCACTTTTTCGCTTGGAATGAGGGGACTTAACTTTAATTTACTTCACTCTATAGAGCGCGGAGTACATGGATTGCAGCTAAACCGAACACGAACTTAAGCGCCAGTTGGGGACGACATTAATTTATGTTCGGCAAACATTTTGCCTGCCATTTAGGCGACAAAGACAAAGTAGCCTCGCCTGCTGGCCAAAACCCCCCATTCCGACTTACCCCTTTTTTTCCCTCAATTCTGTTTGTGTTCGAGCCGGAACGTGTCGGGATTATTAATTAGCCAACATCGCAGGTGAAGCCTGCAAAACATCGGGCCACATTCCCCAAGTGGAGATGGGGATGCAATTGAGGGCATCTCGCCGAGCTGTTGATGATCTCAGTTGTGGGAATGCATTTTACGCTTTGGTTAGGTCAGCGATAAATCCAAAGAGGTCAGATAAATTTATGGAAACTTTTTCCATTGGCACTGGCATTTTTAGAAATATTTCACTAAGTAATAATAGCTTTAAAGAAAATGGTTTCGTGTTGATAATATTCAAAATACTTTAGAAATAAAGTATAATATGTAAGGTTACCAATGGATAATACATAGAAGGAACATGTTTTAAGGAACAGTTTTCGTGTTGAGAATAGGCAAAATACTTTAGAAATAAAGTATAATATGTATGGTTACCAATAGATGATACATAAAACTAAGCTAAAAGTTAAAATTACATATTTAATTTGTATTATTTTATTTACCAAACAAGCACCAAAATTCCGAAATACCTATGTATCTTTTATAGCCCCCAGAGAGTAATTAAATTGTAACTCTAGACTGACTTCGACCACCCATCGAGCAAAAGCGGCTTAAATCAACGGCTAATTGGCTGCGATTTTCATGCCCATTAAGCGTTAACTGTCAGCCACCAGATGGATTATCATATACGAAAACCGACAACAAATTGCACCAAATAACAAAGCCAAAAATCGGCTGTGAGCGAGGTTTCATTAGCCGCGCTCGAAGCGTGAAAACGTGATAAAATTTCGGTTTCAGCTATCTGGCCATAACTAAATCGCAGATCGCAATTTGCGAATTGCGCGCGCAGTTTGGAAATCAGTCAGTCACTTGGTTTGCTTACTGGCTTTAAGAGCTCTTTTTTTTCGAGATTTCATTCTCAGGCCCGTCCAATTACAAGCGACACGAACATAAATAAAATTTTATTAAGTGCTAATTTCTGTTTTAAGCTCGAAATGGGCAAACATTGGCTCGTTTTCCGATTCCACAGGGGCGATAAGTCAATTTGCTTGGCAGACAGATGGATAAAAGACAGGTGGTTTCAGTGGTTCAGATTGGCGCCTTTGATATAATTGATGGAGTTTTTTGTGGCCCGCTTTTGATGGGTGGGTCAGCATCAAAATCGGAGTATGCTTGTGAAAGAATTTGTCTAAAAGGGTTCAAATTAAAAGAAAACAAGAAGATTAGAGCCAACCAAATATGGTTTAAAGACAAAACAAATGATAATTTTAAACTAAACAGGAAAGGAAGCCAACTTCGGCAAGCTTAATTTTTATTTACCCCTGCAGATTGAATTTTGAATGCAGATTTTTAGAGAATCAAATCACAAGTCTTTAGAGGTATGCCACTTTGGAATCGGATTAAGTTTGGCAAAGTTATGGACTCTCGAAGTCCAATTTGGAGTCACTCTGTTACAAAACATCGGAAAACTAGAAATAACTAACATGCAAATGTGTCAAAATTTTGACCAACGTTAAATTGAAAATTTTGAATGCAGATTTTTAGAGAATCGAATCACAAGTCTTTAGAGGTATGCCACTTTGGAATCGGATTAAGTTTGGCAAAGTTATGGACTCTCGAAGTCCAATTTTGAGTCACTCTATTACAAAACATCGGAAAACTAGAAATAACTAACATGAAAATGGGTCAAAATTTTGACCAACGTTAAATTGAAAATTTTGAATGCAGATTTTTAGAGAATTGAATCACAAGTCTTTAGAGGTATGCCACTTTGGAATCGGATTAAGTTTGGCAAAGTTATGGACTCTCGAAGTCCAATTTTGAGTCACTCTGTTACAAAACATCGGAAAACTAGAAATAACTAACATGAAAATGGGTCAAAATTTTGACCAACGTTAAATTGGAAATTTTGAATGCAGATTTTTAGAGAATCGAATCACAAGTCTTTAGAGGTATGCCACTTTGGAATCGGATTAAGTTTGGCAAAGTTATGGACTCTCGAAGTCCAATTTTGAGTCACTGTATTACAAAACATCGGAAAACTAGAAGTAACTAACATGAAAATGGGTAAAAAATTTGATCAACGTTAAAATTATTTTTTATATCAGAAAAACTTTCGCTAAGGAATTTAATAAATTTTAATAGAAGTCACAAAAATTATTGAGCTTAAAATTTAAAATTTCTAATTCTAAATTACTAATTCATAAAATATTTCATTAGATTTCACTTCTTAAAAACCGGGGTGCTTGTAAGATTTATTTAGCCATAAGAAAAAGTTAATATTTTATCGATATCACTTTCCAAATTTATATAAGGCCACAATGGCAACACCCAAAAGCATCACCACAAATCCCAGGCTGCCAAAGAGAGCTAGTGACTTGGAGACTTCTCTGACCTCCGAATTTCCATTCTTCATATCAATATCTTTTGGTGATATATCCTCTTCAGTCGGCATTATCACGCGGAATGTTAAATGGGATAGTTCCGATACTTCTGTACTATTTCCATGCGAAACATTCCGTCGTCTTCTTTGACCCACAGAAGGCAAACAATCTTGGCTTGTCACTTGGCAATCTTCGCGTTCCAGGCATCCTGTAATTCGCATGGAAATGACCAAAACCTCTCCACTCCGCATTCCCGGAAACATGACCGCCTTGAAATGGAGTCTCTGGCCAAGAGGAGGTTCCAAAATTGGGGGATGGGCGCAGATTGCCTGCATGGCGGGATTCAGACAACCCCTCGAACTGACCAACTGAACAGTGTTGAGTACTTCTCCTCCAGTTGCAATCCTCTGCAATTGGACATCACTGAGTTTGGTGTAGTTCCAACCTAAAAGATTAGAGGATTTATAAAAAAAATATAAGTATCTTAAGTGTGTTGGTCATAATTTTAGTCCTAAATGATAATCTCAATGTAAGATTTAAATTCTTTAATTCAAAATAATATACAATATAATGGAGAAAGTCTGATCTATAAAGCCATGTTATACTAACAAAATGAAATGGGAAGTACTAAGATTAATTGGCAATTAGTCTGAGTAATTCAGTTATAAAAGTTTAAATAGATATGATAGATCCCTGCTTTTTAGATTTTGTGTTTTGATGGTTTTTATGAGGGTGAAAGTGATCTCTAAACATTTATAATCATTCTTTATTAAATAACTTACCATCTCCCGCCAAAACATGAGCTCTGAGTAAAAGTTCCTCGCCCAACTGGACTGCACCATTTGTCTCTAAATGTCGGGTATATCCAGTACTTCCTTTTCTCAATAACTCCACATGGGTGCGAAAGGCATTTTGGTTTCCACCATGGGCGTAGCTGCCTCCACTGCGTGCTTGCCTTAAAAACAAAAAGTAAACTTATTAAAAAGACCTCCAAATCTTTACCAAAAAAAAAACTTTTTCCTACACATCATTAGCCACACCCATTTTCAAGGCATGCGTTTTGACTGCCACTCGCTCTTGGGTTTTGCAATGCAGGGTTAAGATCGAGTCTCCACTGGTCCTTAACCCTCTGATGGCGGGGAAGCGCAAACGCAGACAAAGATCCTGGCCACAGGACTTCACACCACAACGCTCGAAATCCTCGCCAGAAATATCCAAGAGCAGAAAACTTCGGGAAAGTTTCATTTCACAGCGTTTATCCGGCTGATCATCATTATCCTGATCTACAGTGGGTGCTGCTCCCAAAAAGCTGTCCAATTTGAGAACAGCTCGAAAATAACCCGACGAAAGGCAACGCATGTCCTTGAGACGGAGTCTCAGTTGGTTTTGATCCTGATTTCCTCCTTCACTGGGGGGTAAATAAACGGGAGCAGGTGTCGAAGGTTTTTGGGGGAATACTGGAGCCACTGGGGCATGGTAATCGTAGCCTGGGGAGTGTATAGTCTCGATTTCATCTCCAGGATCTTGTACAATTATGGGTCTTGAAGTAGTGGTAGTTGTGGGTGTGGAGGTGGTTATGATGCTGCCTGCAGGCGGTTGGGGGTAGTAGTAAGCCGGATAACTCTCCTCACTAAAAAATAGGTAGATAAATGCATATAAATTTATATATATGTTTATATATATGTTTTAATAACAATTTAATCTAAAACATTTATTTAAAAGAAAATGTATTTACATGAGGTTAATAACCTACTTTTTGAACCAATTTCCAATTAATTTAAATATATTTGGTAGGTAAGAGGATATCTTTTAGGAATAAAACCCACCTTGGCTTAGGACTTTCGTAGTTGGGGCGCTCCTCGATAGCAGGTGGCAGATAATGCTGACTTAGAGGTATAAAACTGCCGTGTCCAGTTCCCTGAAACTTGACACTGCGATTCTCTATAATCTCCGGCAAACTAAATTCGGTGGTGGCAACAGGAGCCACAGGGGCAGGAGTAACAGGAACCGGAGCTGGAGCTGGAGGTCCATATAAATTCGGAGGAGATAGTCCCACTTGAAAGGGCACTTGACCATGAAGATAGTTTTCAAATTGATCCAATTGAGGAGCAAAAAAATGGGACACATCCGCGAGAGATCCTCGAATAGTTTGCGATCCCAAAAGGGCTAAGACTAGACACATCCACATGGTTGACATTTTGACCAATAACTGACTGATGGGCCTCCAAGTGATAGTGTTTTTATATGCTCCCACTTGGTTTGGTTGGGCGTGACTCCTATGACCTGGATTAATTTCAGACCAAATTATTCTGGAACCTCGCACTTTCTCAGCTATCACTTTTAATGGCCGAGAGTCCCCGAAAAAAAATAACCAAAAATTCCACACGACTTGGTTGTACCCACAGACTTTCCTTGGTCACGAACGCGTTGAGTGGGTCAGGTTATGTAAAGCTAATTGCGAAGTGCTCTCTGGGGAATAAGCCACCAGTTGCCACTGATCCAAGTTCGGTTCCATCTTCGATTCACTTGCCGCACCAGCCACATCGTCCCACAAATCATTTGCCATTTGACATCTCGCTTGTGGACAACTAATGACAACAGCTGCGACACAGCAGCATTTTGGCCATATTGCGGATTTCTGATCGCTGTTAGCCAGAAGCCAATCAAACCTAACGAGCCGACAATCTGTCCGTTAATGTTAATGTGACCATTTTGGGTAGGCTCAAGCAAACAGTCATCGCGGAGCGTCATAATGGAAACTAAACAGAGAAAAACATAGATCATTTTTAAATAAATAAGAAGAGATCTAATAAAAAGATACATATAATCTATTTATATAATAGATTAGATCCATGTATTAAACCAATTAAAAAAAATTGAATATTGTTTTTAAGAGCATTAGACTATTTGCTTTTTATAAATAGTTATTTTAATATTTTATAATATTGAAAGCTATGTTCATCTACAAATAGTTCTTGAGCTAAAAAAATGATTAAAATGAAGTCATTATACAAAAGTATTTCATTCTTTGTGATTATAAATATTTAGTTTTTCAAAGATATCTTATTATTTTCCTCTGTGCACCTTCGATCTTAATCACTTGCACACGTGGGAAGAGTTCTCTTTACTTGTAATCTGATTTCAGAGTTCATTCGCTAGATTTTGAACCACATGTATGGGTTTTCAATCAGCTAAACATGACATTTATATGTTAAGCCAATTATTTTTTAATATAACTGTGGGACTGGTTTTTCGTGCAGCTGGTTATTATTCCCAGCGGCGAAGATTTGCCAAATCGAATGCAATTAATTGAATTAACAAGGCACTCTGTTCCACACTTCATGGGGGATCGTTAAAAACTATAACTGGATCTTCAACTAGCTCTAAGTTGATTTATGAGTTAAGTCTTGCCACCTCTTGCCATACTTATAAGCGATTCCCCGCAGGATCTCGAACGATCTCGCCAGCGAAAAATGCCCGGCACCTCGTATCCCACGAATAACGATAATTTCAGCAACGGATTTCCGATGGCCACCACACAAAGTGAGCGTCTGTTGCAGGCTCAGAATAGAAGAAAATTCAGTTTTCCTGCCACTCTACATTCCGCCTCTCTGTTGGAAGTGGGTGGGGGCCAAAAGGAGACCACTCGGCGAAGGTTGAGCAATGTCAGCGATGCGGTCACCAGGAAGCTATCCTACACGATTGGCTGGAAGGCGGCCCAGATTCCAGCGGTGGACATCATCACACAGGTTTCTTAAGAGTCAAATTATTTTAAATATTAACCTCACAACCTAATATTAATATTTCCTTCTCAAGGGTCGTTGTCTATGTGGTCACTACATCAAGCGACGTCTGAGAAGATCGGGTTTGTTTAATAAAAAGCTTGGACTACAGCGGATACGAAGTATTCTTGGTTCCACCTCCATGGGCATTGTGCGGGACGTTTTTCCAGCAGTTCAAGTGGTAAGGATCCTTTAAATAAAATATATATTTTATTAGGTACAGTCTTTAATTCTAATAAAATAAAACCTTATCTCAGCTGGGTGACGAACTGGAGCGCATGCATCCGCGTGTTTACAATGGAGTAGCTCGTCAGATTTGTCGAAATCCAGGCGGTGAGTTCAACACTCCGGATGCTGTGAGTGTGCTACTGGGAGCTGTCGGTCGGGAGCTTTTCCGAGTGGAGATCACCTGGAGCAAGGTGATCTCTTTGTTTGCCATTGCCGGAGGTCTATCCGTTGATTGTGTGCGCCAAGGACATCCAGAATATCTGCCCAAGTTGATGGAGAGCGTCTCGGAGGTGATCGAAGATGAGCTGGTGCCTTGGATTAATGAGAACGGTGGTTGGGTGAGCCTCCCTGAACAGCATTATTATAACATATGTTTATTCAAGCATTTTTTATTCCAGGGCGGGATTAACACACATGTTTTACCCACTACCAACAGCCTGAATCCCTTGGAGTGGACCACTCTGGTCATAGGCGTAGTTTTTGGCCTGATTTTAGTTCTTATGGTTTTGCGATTTATAATTAACACGATAGTACCGAAAATATATCAACGATTTACGAACTGAACTTAAAAAATGGTGTCCACTCAGGGTTAGTGATAATTCATATTTGATAACTTATATATTTTTGAATAAAGTGCCACACATTTTAGATCAGCTTTTAATGGTTTGCTGCTTTAATTTTCTTCTAGATGGACAGCTTTTCAGTCTTATTAGTTTAATTAGTAGAGCTTTTAATGAAAGCTTCCGAAAAAGTAAACATGCGACATGATCTTGATAATGGAAAAGTTAAGATAACTATAAAAATTATATGGGGTTAGCAATGATAAATATATTTTAAGTCCATCTTAAATTTACATTATATATATACCTGATTAGCTTTTTTTGTGTTATGGACATTAAAATCACTACGAGCAGTTGCACAATCCCTCTCAACTGATAAGACTGTTCAATCTTCACATAGAATAGGTCTTCGGCTTGTTTTATTACAAAATTTGAGAGGAAAATCTTCCGTGGACTTAGGTAAAAATTCAAATAAATGCAACAGTTATCAATTTAACGGTACACAATCGTAACTTTATACTACAACATATGACAATCTCTCGCCTTACAACTTTCCAGTAAGCTCGGGCACAGCCTTGAAAAGATCAGCCACGATGCCGATATCGGCGACTTGGAAGATGGGAGCCTCGGGATCCTTGTTGATGGCCACAATAGTCTTGGAGTCCTTCATGCCAGCCAAATGTTGAATGGCGCCGGAGATGCCAACGGCGATGTACAGCTCGGGAGCCACAATCTTTCCGGTCTGACCGATCTGCAGATCGTTGGGCACAAAGCCAGCATCAACGGCAGCACGAGAGGCTCCCACAGCGGCTCCAAACTTATCGGCCAGATCGTACAGCAGCTTGAAGTTATCTCCGGACTTTAAACCCCTTCCTCCGGAAACGATCACCTTGGCTCCGGCCAACTCTGGGCGATCGGATTTGGTCAGCTCCTGAGAGACGAATTCCGACAGGCTGCTCGCATAATCTCCAGCTGGAGCCTGCTCCACAGCTCCACTTCCTCCGCTGGTAGCTGCCGGTGGGAAGTTGGTGCTCCTCACAGTAATTACCTTCACGGCATCCTTGGATTTCAAAGTGAGGATGGCATTTCCGGCGTAAATAGTCCGCACAAATGTATCCTCGGACTTGACATCAATGATCTCCGAAATGGGCGACACATCCAGTTTGGCGGCCACGCGGGGCAGCACGTTTTTGCCAAAAGCCGACGCACCGGCCAGGATGTGGGTGAACTTGAACTGAGATTGAGCGGCCAGGACTAAAGGAGCCAGTGATTCCGCGGTGAATCCCTTGAAGGCGGCATTCTCGGCCACCAGAACTTTGGTCACGCCTTCTACTTTGGAAAGAGCCTCGGAAGCCTGGGAAAGAGAGAGTGGATATGTTATAAATATGCAGAGCTTCTAAAAAGGTAGCGTAGAATTGGGTGGTAAGTTGGCAAGTTTACTGAATCTATAACATAAGAGATATCTCTGATAGTATAATCGGGTATTTGCTTTAAACTAAGTTGGATGACAGATATCCTAGAAAACGGGCAAATACATATTTTGAATACAAACGTATTGTGTTTAAAGGCAAAATATTTATATAACTTGTTGCCGACATACGATTGCAAATAAAAGTATTTTCAAAAATGTTAGGATTTCTGAGTTATAATAGACCTAGTTTTCTTTTAACAGTTCTTCGCCCTCGTTTTTTTTTTTACATTTTTCCATATGGAACCATCCCAATGGAGCCTTTTTGAGACTTACGGGTCCGCATTTTGTGCCTGCCACCAGTACTGTGACGTCACCGCCGATCTTCTTGGCCGCGGAAATAGTATTCAGGGTGATCGGGTTGAGGGCCTCATTATTGTGCTCGGCCACCACCAAAGTGCTCTTGCATCGCTGCAGCTGAAAATTAAAAAGTTGATCAATTTGTTATTTAATTATTAGACAACAGCGCCTGCGCTCTTTTATCTTCTTAATATTTTCCACTTACAATGCTGCTGCGCATCAAATTACGCGTGTTGCTGGCAAACATTTTCGGGATAAGATAGTAGAAGGAGCTATTGGGGGGCAGAGAAAATGTTGTTTGATTAATTAAAACACTTTAATGTTTAATTGATAACTTACCTTCGCTACAAAATCACAGAAAGTCCAAAGGTTTGTCGCTTGGCGGTGGAAAACCATCGATGGCAACATCGATATTTACAAAGCATCGGTAATATCGATGTTTGTCAGGGCGCCAACTGTGTTTTTCCATCTCTAACGAGTATTTCCCACTGTAGTTCTTGCGCACTGTTATTATTACAAAAGAGTTTAAAATAATTTTTTTATTCTAACGTTTTAATGTATAATGTATATTTACTCAATGAAATAAATATCAACTCCAATTTAATAAATTATTATCACAAAGTCACAAAACTGCTCCTTAAAAATAACCATGACCAGTCACTGTTTGGGTTAATAGTGTCATCTCTAAGGCATATGGTTTCTTTGCATAATCTGACAACCCTCCAAAAATATTTATTATTACAAGTAAATTCCCGTTTTGTAACTAAATTCAGTGACTAATCAGACTAAAGAATGGCAAAAGCAATACCAGATAGGTGAGTACAACTCTGGGATGTTACATCGAAGATGTCCCGAAGAAATCTATTTGATTGACTGTTTGTTTATGTTTTCCTGTGCTCACAAACTACAGATGGTTGGATTACACGCCGATCGGGAAGCGTATTCCTGGTACTCGATTCATAGCATTCAAGGTGCCCTTGCATAAGGTGAGCTTACGATTAAGGTAGTTCCCCCATCCAATACCAGATCCCGAGTTCCATTAAAACCGGTTGACAGGAGGCTAATATTGATGGATGTTGAAAACCCAGGACCACCGACATTGAGGGGTCCTCTAAAAATAAATAACAACGGACGACGACGAAATTTGTGCATTGTAATTATGCATATATGTATATAAAAGTGGCAACTGGACATGGAACATGGACCCCACATGAATATTAAATTAAATTGTTTTTGCTTAATTAAATAACGCCACGGTTCCTCGGACCTTATTAATTGCCTGCCCCACGGGCACTTTGCATAAATTGAGTAATTTTTAGCGGCGCATTGTAATGATCTCATGGGTATTTGCCCTGTTCCCCATTCCCTTTTCAGCATGTCAACGCCAGAGTGCAGGAGAATCTTCGCCTGGCGCCCGAATCCCTGCTGGAGTCCATCCCCGATCTGGGCCTCATCATCGACTTGACCAACACAAACCGATACTATCATCCCAGTGCTTTGACCAACCGCGATGTGCGCCACCAGAAGCTGATGATCCCCGGAAAACAGACACCTCCAAGGGCATTGGCAGAGCGGTAATTATAACTTTCAATACCTCCTAAATTATAGAAAATTTTCTCAAAGAAATAAGAGCTATACCTGAAAATGGGATAAAGAAAGACCTAAAGAATATACATTTATGATTCTCTTAAACTACAGATGGTATTCAAATCTCGAAATTAATCAAACTTTGGTGATTTCGTTCCAATTGATTGATATTAACAAATTTATTTTAAAGAAACAAAATATAAATCTTACTCCCAATACTGTAAAATATCTATTTTTACGGTTAATGAAAAAAATAATTTTTTACGCTTAAGCTCGTTTAAAATGTTGATTAACCGCGAAAATTGCTTTGAATTTGGCTTAAGATAATTTAGGTTTTTAACTTATCAATATTCCTTTCTTATCATTATAGATTCTGCGGTTTTGTTGCCGATTTCCTTGAAAGCAATGCAGATAATGGTGAGTGTTGACAATTCATCCCACACGTCTTGATCTTTGGGCCACGCAGCCGTGGGAAACGCTTTCGCGTCAACAATGCAGATTCAGATGCATATCTGTCCTCACAATTAGAGCCGCAAAATATGCAAACAAATCGTATCAAAAGCGGGGCACCTGCAATTACCACGTATCCTAATTCCGGGCTGCACTGCCTCCAGAGATTCCTATCAGCTGGCAAGCACATAGCAAACATGGCGCAAAGCGGTGAAATGTGCTCGCAGCCAAGTGCCGCAAAAGAGAAATACTCTATTTAACCCTTTAACAGCCAACTGGCGCACCGATGTGGGCGCACACACTCAATCAGTCAGTCAGCCAGTCAGCTTTTTGGTTAGCCTTTGAGGAGAGCCCCAGGCCAAATCTGTCTGCCAGTCGGGAGCCGGGCAAACAAATCACTTACAAAGCACGGAGCTTAGTCATGCCGCGAGTGGGAAAAGGCTTTTCCAATTATGCACATTTCCAGGCATGCAAAGCTATCCATCCGCAGGCCGCTTTTCATTTTAGTTTTCAAATCTAGGAAAATTGCAAGACAAGGCCGACAAATCCATTTCTCGTTTAAACCCTTTTCGTTGATATATGTCTTAGATTTCTTGTAAGCATGTGTTTTATCAGAGTTCATTTTGAATTATTTCCTCGAAATTTTATCAGTAACCATTTGCTTAATTGATATACAATTTTTTTTGTTTAGTTTGATCTTAAAGTAATTATTTTTGAAAAGAGAATTTTTTTTTAAATAAATAGAGTATCCAAACTTCAATCACAGCTTGATAGTTTTATGTGTAAGTGGGCGCGGGATACGCCTTATGTTTCGCAGGCACTTTCATCTTGCGCTAATGTATGTGCGAACCCATTTGGCTTACAATATGCAAAAATGCCGACCAGAATGCCTTAGCAGTTTCTGATGCCGTCTTAGGGCTTAATTAAAACAAGATCTGGCGCCGCGGAAAGTCGCGTAGAACAAACAATAAATAAATACACGAAGGCTGCCAACATATTTACAACGAAACAAATCAGGAAAATAAGTCAAATACGAGGTGGTCGCAACTTGTCAACGACCAATGAGGCAGTATAGGCTCGAAAACAAGGCAAAGTCGTTGTCTCAGCACAGTGGGATCATCTGAAGATTTAATTTAACTACTATTGCCTATATAGTTATTTAGCCACAAATCAATCCTTTACTGAATAATATGATGAAAATTTTAAATGATTTATGAAAGAAAATTTTTAATTTTTATTTTCCATTTTAAAAAATAATTTAATGACTTTAAAAATTATTTTAATTTAACAATTCCTAAACAGAAGAAGAATTTTCACTTAAGACATTTGTATAAGAATTGTTGAATATTAATTTGTATTGTTATTTCAAAAGACTCAAACAACAAACTTGTTAGAACTATTTTTTCAACATACTATTGAAAGTATCGTAAACTTTATTTTTATTCAAATGTTAAAGAACAAATCACTGGAACTTATTAAAGAAAAGTATATATTATATAAACAAATTTTGTAAAATAACTATGTATTTTTAGTTTTTGATAAATATTTAAAACATGCCCCACTGTTCTTGGCATATCGACAAGGATGCGCCGCGCGTTCTCGTAATTTAATTTCGTTTTGCCTGTAAGTTGGCTTAAATGCAAGCCAAACATGACGTACTGACTGACTGGCAGCTTCGCCCGCTGCCAATGACCAGGGAATCCAACAACCAGGCCAAAGCCAAAGCCAAAACCCGAACCCGAATCCAAAGCACCCGCATATTGCACAAAGGCAGGCCACCGCGACCTGGTGGGATGTCCATGCCCCCCTGGATGCCCCTCGCAAATCCCTCCTGCTGGCATGTTTTTGTGAAATTTATAGCCAATGTTATTATTGGCAGAGCGCGCTGTTTTCTAGATTTAGCTCAGGTCGCTTCTGCTTTTATGCCAAATTGCCAGGCCGGTTTTTTCTGTTGCGGTCTCGCCGCGTGGGTGTTACCAAATGGGCGTGGAGCGGGATTTGTAGCTGGGGAGAGGGACATTCCTGTGGTCGTGTTTGCAATGAAATTTGTAGCAATTTGCAGCAACATGCGGCATTGCAGAAAGGCTGTGGCACTGCTTCTAAACGGAATAGAAATATCACCAAAATTGGTTGGGAATCTTCATTCTAAAGAGACTGGTTTAAAATGTAAAGCGTCGAAAGCATCTTCATATTATTAAGTATTTACATTTTCCAATCGTATGTTTAAGAATTAAATAATTTGTTATTTCAAATATCTTATCCGCAACATACAGACAAATTGATTGGAGTTCACTGCACGCATGGTGTGAATCGAACCGGATACTTGATCTGCTACTTTATGATCTCCGTTATGAAGAAGTCCCCCGAGGAGGCGATAAACAGTGCGTTGGATCCTGAGTAGACCCATGGAATACAATTTATTTATTCATACCCTATATATGATCCGCAGACTTTTCTGCGGCACGTGGACATGAAATCGAGCGCGAGAATTACTTAAGCTCCTTGAAGACACTTTCGAATCGAAACGATAATCAGGGGCGCTCTCGTTCAAATCAGTCAAGGTTAGAGTATAACAGCAAATACACTAACGTCAGAAACCAGCCCAGAAAAGAATATGGAAATTATCGGCAGCAAAATTACCAACGAGGTGGAGGGTATTATCACACATCCCATACATACAGTACGTAACTTAACATTGCCGTCAAAACTTTCGCATAATAATGATTCCAGTTCAATAGAAAATTTAATATTTTTGAATCTTATTTTATTTTAAAATCCAAATTACACACAAATTACCCACTTAACACTTCTTTATATCATTCAAACTAATTTTGTTATGATTCCTTGTTCTAAATTAAAGTCTAAATTTGTACTTTAGATTAGAATTCCCAGAACGGATTTACCCTTGCACAATTGAAATACTTTATTTGCTTGAATTTCAGAAGACCAACCCAATAGAAATTCCTATCAAAATAATTGGCGCAGTGACATACCGAAAAAATTATCCGAGGATCGCTACCATTCAAAAGGCAACCGTTGGAACCATCAGGATCATCAGAACTACAACAAAAATAGCAGAGGTTACAGCTCAGATTGGCGGAGATCTAGCCAAGTTTATTCAAGAGAAGATGATAATCAAAAAAATGACTGGTCTTCTTTCGGCAAATATCGCCAGGATCGAGAATATCGGCAGGCCAGCAGACGCCACTACTATGCTGATGATGCGGAGTAGTTGTCTTTAGTTTCACCTGATATTTGATATTTTTATTTTGTAAAAACATCCTGAACTAGATTTAAATAAATTTCCAATGGCGTGTTAAGCAATTTGTAAATTATTGCTAATTAACTGCAACAACAAGTACAACAATTAAAATTCATTTGCAACACGGTTAAGTTGAGACCACATAATGCTAGTTAACAAGCAGTCGGCTCAGATCGTGTGAAGATACAATAAAATCTGATAAAAATTTGCATTTCGATAAGCGAGAAGACGGCGTGAAATTCCAGGAAATTAGTGATCATCATGGCCAGCGGTGCCGCCGGGTTTGCTCCTGTGTCAAAGCCAAAGTCAGGATTGGCCGGCAAAGTGCTTTATATGTACAGTGGGTCTAATCAGTGCCAGAGATTTATGAAATTCTTTGCAAAATGGGATTTAAATGGTCTTCGAGGAAAGACAAAATATCACCAATAATATTAAAAAGGGTATATGAAAAACCTTAGAGATAAATTATTATTTACATTTTAAGAAATTTTAATGAACTTTAAAAAAGCCATCCATTTTATCAACATCAATCCAATTTAGGAAACCAAATGTTTTATATGAAAAACTTTTTAATAAACTATTGAAAACAGAGATAAGTAGACAGTTAAACTAAAATGAAATAAATTTTAAAAGTTTAGAATGAGTTTAATATATATAAACTATAAACTCCAAATGAACCCCATGGTAATATATTTTGAAGTACCTGTCACGTTGACGGCTCCTGATCGTTTCATTATTTCGTCATGGTGGTCAAATGTCAACTTATTAGCATAAATGTTGCTGCTGTCGCCTCCGCCCATCGCCTCTTTTTTTTTTAACCCTCGGGTTCCGATATCGGCGCTTTATCTTTGTGCAATCTTATCGGGACCGCACGATCAACGATTGTCATTATGGGCCAGGGTCCGAGGCTCGGACAGCGACAAATCGTTGGCCATTACAATGGTGGGGTGATGGAGCTGGAGGAGATGGAGATGGAGATGGAGAAGGATCGGGAAGTGGTTGGGGGACCTGGGTACAGGGATCGAATCGATCGGTTGGGATCTGATCTGACTGCCCGATAAACGCCTGTTGTGTGGCATGTGGCGTAAAGTTGTTTGTTGCGCTTAATTGGACAGCGTTTCATTTCGCGGCTGTTCGGACAGTTTGCTTCCTTTATTCACTCGTTATTTTTAGCATCTGACTGACCCAAAGACACGGCCAAATGGCATCCAGCGAAAGTGCCATCAAATGCCTTGGGTGATGTCTGCCAAAGATCTTTATTCGATTAGCGACGGCTACAGGAGGCTCTTTCCTGGTAATATTAAAAGTTTGGTGGAACAAAAGGTGGAAGCGGATGACATTAAAACATGGAGTGACATTAAAACTATTCAACATGGGATTTTATTTTAATAAAGGGGAAAGTCACCAAAAAAATTTAAGAAAATAACTGCAGGATACATTTTATTGGTCGTATTGTTAGTTAATAATATTATATTTCGGGGTAAAATTAAACAGGATAATTACGTTTTCAAGGAAACGAATGAAAATTATTGAGCAAAGCATTTAGTTTATTTGAATTCATCAGAAATAAGAAGACAAACAGTTAAGAGAACACTGTAATATAAAAGAATGATCAATATTAAATTGTTTTTTTAATTAGTTCAAACTAATACCTAAAAAAGATCAAAAGATTGTAAACCATTTAAATTACCAACATTTTTTGAGCAGTAACCAATTGAAACTATTTTTGTTGAAAATCAATAAAAGTTTTTACAGATTCAAATTATATTTTTATGTGGTATGAACTTCCTCATTTTACACCAACAAATCCAAGGACCAATGAAAATAAACATCCTTTACCCCCTATCGTTCTATTAAGGCTTATGTCCCAGATAATTATGTGGGTCTTTTGGTCATGCCGACGATGATTTCAATGACACACCCCGCCCCTTTTGCTGCCATAAATTGCTGAATCAACCAAAAATTGCCAATTGTCAGTTGCGTGCGGTTTATCTTTTTTTTTCCCCCGCTCCAAAAGGCACACAAATTTTGTTCATATTTTTCTCGCGTTCGTTTTGTTTAGTTTATGACCGCGAAAGACGACTGGAAAGTGTTGCCAATTTCCACCGACTGTGCCGGACTTGGGGCCATTTATCTTAGCATAACTTGGAGCGCGATAATTGCATTCCACATGGACTTGGCCAAGATCGAGGAGCGAGGCCACTTTGAAGTTCGGTGCGGACAATTAGGCATGGCCCATAAATTGCCATCTCATATGTGGCGATGCGGCGAAAAAAAAGGAAGCGTGCGGCATTGATTTAAATAATAGTGTTTAACTTTGCACCCAACCCCCTGAAAAAGTGGCAAAGGCTGAAAAAGCAGCGACAATTACCTGGCCATTTCAATTAGCCGGCAAAAGGGAACAAAAGCTTCGGCGAAATCCATGGAGTCAATCAGATATTGATATCAATGCCGCACCAGTCCGAGCTCTCAATTGTTGTCGATGGCCTTTTGTCTGCTCCCCAGGTGATTTACGGTGTCGCCCTGTCTGGCTGATAAAAGAGTTGACGGATCAGGAGCAGACGCATTGAATTGCCAGTCGGAAAAGTGTGGAAACCGTTGAGACGAGGAGGAAATGCAGTGCCAACTGGATTAAAGTGAGTATGAGGAATTATAAGAATACAAGGAAATGTATGGGAAAAGCTTTTTAAAGTGTAGGGAATAATCTAAAATTAAATTATGAGCTATAAATGCTAAGAAATAACGCACGCAAAAGAATATTTTATTTAACAAAAAACTTGATTTTAAAAGGATCAAATCCTAATTACGTGACCATAGCAACATTTCCAGATCCCTTAAATTAATCTTATATTATAGATCAAAACCTTACTGTTAAAATATCAAACTATTGTTTATTTTACAATGTATCACCTACATTTAGTGTGATCTTTATGAATTCTATATTTATTTAACTATAATAGCATTTCTTGTATGGTCTAAAAATTGTTTTGATATTTTTTTTAATAATTGCATATTATTTTTAAATTGATATTTATGGCTCTAAAATACTTAAACTTTCTTTTCAAGTCCGTTTAAATGCATTTAACAAATAAAATAAATATTTTTTAATGAGTAATCCCACGAAAATAAAATAAGTACAAAGCAAAATATGTTCCCTTTACTTACCCTCAATTGAAACGCGATTCAGGGGACTCCTGCAACACTTGCCATTTATCGCCGTACGCAATCTTAATTAAAAGCCGCCCCCAGATGAAAACAAATGTTTACTTTAAAGCCGATACGAATCGAGCAATCACGAAATCGATTCAGTTCGATTCGATTCGAAGCGCGTTGAAAACACACGAATTGGGCAATTAAAGCGGCTGAAGGGCGAGAGTTTATCGTCAATTTTTGCGATATGGATGCGAGGCACGCACATGACCCTCCCACTCATTAAGAGGAGTCCTACAAACCGGGATAAAAACTGGTTCGCAGCTCCATTGTCTTGAAACTGTGCCACACACAGAGAAAACAAAGCTACAATGTGACTCAAATAATTTTGTAAATATTTATACTTCCTATATATATTTTTTACATGACCTCAATTTTAATGTTCAGTTATTTTTATATTAAATATTTCATTCTTAACATTTCGTTTATAAAATATCCATTAAATACATCTTGTTCTCTTGAGTTAAAAGTATTAATTTATAGCTATTTAAATTTTAATCAACTGAAAGCATCAACAAAAACTATTTACTTTATATGTAAATTAATGTTATAAAATAGAGACTTTGATATCAAGGAAATAAGCAGAAAATATATAAATTTAATAATTGACATATTCCAATTTTATAAAAAAAATATTTTGAATTTTTTAACATTTTCACAAAATTATTCTTGCAGTGCACGGATAGCCCATCATTTGGGTGAGTTGTTGATAGTGTCCCAGATCAACCGACTTATCTCCAGCTGTAACCCCCACTCAGTGCATTCCGGGCCATCTATTTATCCTTGGCTATTACAACTCCTTTCTATTCTTTTTGTGCCCATGGCGCCGTGGCATAAACTTTATTGTCGCCACATTGCTGCTGCATACTTAATGGCGCCACAGCTACAAAACACACGAAAAATGTGCCAGTCGAAAGTGTCAACGAACTTTAAAATGCTCTGCTCTGAAGAAAAATCCACCCACCCAAGGGGGCAAGATTATAGCCACTCCCTCGCCACTTTCCAAAAATTCCATTTTCGGCAAATATTTGTGCAAGTCAGCTCCATTTTGGGACAAGTCACCCCTTACTTCTTATTTCTCTGTTATCATTCGGACTGCATACAATGGGCTGGGCAAATTGCTTAGAGACTTGGCTGGCAAATGTTTTGGAAATATTTCAAGTGCTATTTATTTTTGAAGGGGTCCACACCACAGGGTGGTTTCCATCCCGTGGTTTTATGGGGTGTCTGTGGGTGGGTTTTTTTTGGATACTGCCCGAGGCTGTGTGCAAAATTGGTCAGATAAGCAGAGACATGAAAATTTGACCCAAAGGCTTACCTGTCTCCTTTTTTGGTTGGGTTGTTTTGTCTTCTGAAGATCTAGAGATATATGTTTCTTACTTCTTTTTGTATAATGTTTACATTTTGAGATTTTTTGGATTTATTTTTTAAAGGTCATTTTTAACAACACCTTCAGAGATTAGAAATTTACCTTTTCTGAAAATTAAAAGTTTTGCGTATATTTAAAAAACTCTTTCAATTAAAATGTTCTTTATTTTTCAAAAAGTTAAAGTAAACACAACATCCAGATATTTAAACAACATTAATTTCTTAAATCTTAATTTCTATTTTTTATAGCCGTATATTTTCCAAATGGTAATTTCAATTCCAAATGTCAATATTGCGAAGGAATACCCCAGAGCCAGAGAAATAGCCGGCACTATGAAATAATCAATCCCCAAGGGTCCCGACTCCCAGTGTTTCGTCACGGTGAAGTTCAGATATCCCTGACTGACCGCTTCCCTTTGTGCATCCCTAGCCATTTTGTCCAATAGACCACTCTCGAATCCATGGAACCAAGCTCTACTTAGATGGTTTTTAAGGAACCACTTCTTGTTCATCGGAAATCCGGCAATCAAAAAACAAAAGTTTATGGGTATCCGCCGAAACTTTTGATGTCTTGAGAACTGCTGCGCATATACAAACATATCCATGCGATCAGCAAACAACACGTAGGCATAGTCCTGATTAAAATTATTCCGATGACGGACTAGAGTTTCTGTCGATACGGTTTCTATGACATTCCAAAGGGGTTTTGGTATATGATGCCTCATAAATAGCATCCGATCATAGGGATCAATTAGGAGGGGAATATTTCTTTCGGCCAGTTCCTCAAAGGATTCAATTTGCTTTTCAAATACTTCTGATACCAGCATGCTTTTAAGCAAACCCAAATACATGGTGGAGTACACAAATCCTGAAATAAACAACACTGCAAAGAGTATTGTCCGCTCTAATCCTTTAATCGCTTTCAGATGAAAACCAAGGTATAAAAGTGAACTGAAGACCTCGAGAAGAGTTTGACTAAAGTCAAACCTTCCACTCTGTTTCCAGTGTATCAGGCACAGAAATACCGAAATCAGAATAATATACATTGCCAAATAGATCCAAACTTGTGTCTTAAATGGAGCTGTTAAGTAACGATATGAAAGTAAGGGTTTTGAATGAGGTACAATCACATTGGCGGCTGAAATCCTTAACGCTCTGGTTAGGCTAAAAACATCTGGATTTCGAACCAAGGCATCTGCGCATAAATCCACCGTGTTATTTCGAAGAAAGTCAGTGCAATTTTGGGGTGAATCATTGGGCGTGTGAACTGGCTGAAAAGTTGCATTCCTGAAGTCCAAAAACTGTTTCGCAAATCGCATAAAGTACCCAGCATATATCTTCTTGCCGCTGCGATCAAAATATATTAAGGTCCTGGGAACATTATTGTAGGCCGCCACTCGAACCTTATGGCCATCAACATTTTGAAAGGAGTCCCGGAAGTTTGCATACTCCTTAATAGTAGTTTCCTTTATCCTTAGCTTGGGAAATAGAATTTTATCATAGGAATTTCCGCTGTAAGTAGAGTGAATCAATATTTTTACATATCCAATCTGCCAAGCGAAGTTTATAAAATGCTTCCATTTATCTTCTTGCATTTTATTGTCGATCACTAGCAGAAAATCGGCCTGTTGAAAACGCAATTCCAGTTTTCGTAAGAATTCATATGGTGGGTCATTTCCCATTATTATAAAAAGCTTATAATCACTTCCCAATTGGTATCGTAAGCTGGTAATATTTAAGGCTTCCAAAGAGGTATAAATTATACTGGAGATGTACGATTCGAATGGCTTAAATGAATCCACATTTTTGTAGTAAATAATATTAGTAGAGATTCTAAGGCGTTCGTTGAGCTCGTTTATAATATGTGTTAAGTCTTGCCCCATTATTGAAGCTACTTGGACGGTCACAAAAAACATCAAAATTGCACATCTTGAGTAGGAAATCATCTGAAAGATAAAAGAGTTTGAAAGAATTTTGAGAAAGTAATAAGTATTAATTTTTCTAAGTACCAACAAATTCTGACTTAACAAATAGTGTTGTTTTGAAAGGAACCAACTATTCATTGTTGTGGAACATTTAATTGTTATCTAAGAAATGTTGTTACTCTTTTAAGAAGTTAGTCTAAAACCTAAAAATATTTTTTGCAATTTACTTTTTGCTAACCTTTTTAATTTCTACAGCGACAGGCGGCTTTATTTTTGTTAAGACTTTACGACAGAATGTAGAAAATAAAAACACAAACACGTAAAGCACCACAACACCAGACAACATCAATCCGTCACTCAATCAACATCAACCGGCACTTGTCCTCATCTTGATGCTCCTCTGCGCCTGGGATCTGCATCCCAGGAACAATCCGCTCATGCGCCAGGCCGTCATCTCGATGACAAAACTTAGCAAGGCCAGGATGTAGCCGATGACCAGAGCAATTGCCGGCATGACGAAATAATCCACATCCAGGGGCTGTGCCTCCACGTGCTCCGTGATGAGGAATTTTAGATAGCCCACGCGAACCGCCTCGAAGTCGGCATCCAAGGCCAGTTTCCTCGTAAGACCGCTCTCGAAGGCCCAGTACCAGGCCTGTCCCAAATGGTGCTTCAGGAACCACTTCTTCCGCATCGGGATGCCGGTGTAGAGGAACGAAAAGTCAATGGGTATTCTCAGCAATTTCGGATGCTTCAGAAACTGCTGGGCATAATCGTACAAGGCCATTCGATCCGAGAACAATATGTATGCGTAATCCTGATCGAACCGATTCCTGTGCTCCAAGAGCGTCTCAAAAGTCACATTCTCCATTATGGTAAATAGTAACTGGGGCATGTTGTACTTGGCAAACAACTTCTGATCGTAAGGATCCACCATCAGGGTTATATTGCTCTCTACCAACGCTTCAATAGTATCGATCTGCTTCTCGAAAACCTCGGAGATTAACATACTTTTCAGTAGGCCCAAATACTCCGTGGAGTAAACGAATCCAGCTATGAACATCACCCCAAAGATTATGTATCTCTCTCTTCCATGAATGTTGTTCAGATAAAATCCACTGAACAAAAGCGAGCTGAAGACCTCGAGGAGATGGCGACTGATGTCCCATTTTCCACTTTTTAGCCAGTAAATAAAGCTGAGGAAACCCACAACCAGGACGACATAGGCGGCCAAACAGAGCCATACACTCCATTGAAATGGAGCGGTTAGATAGCGATATGAGTGCATTGGTTTGGCATGGGTCACAAAAACATTGGCCGCGGCTATCCTGAATCCATGGGTCAAACTAAAGGCAGTTGTATTGGCTGCCAGGGCATCTGCACACACATCCACAGTTTCATTGTACAAGTTTAAAGTACAATTTCCAGGAGAATCACTTGGCGTAAGAACTGGCACAAAGCTTCCATTTTTTGAGCCTATAAAAGCACGAATAAATCGCATATAAAAACCGGCAAATACCTCTTTGCCCCACCGATTCACATAGATCATAGAACGTGGCACATTATTATAGGCAGCCACACGAACCGGATATCCATATAGGTTCTTGAACGATCCTCGAATCGATATATAGTGCTCTACGGAAGCCTCCTCTATCAGCATCTTAGGAAATATGATTTTGTGATATAACTTCTCATCATAAGAGGTGTAGAACAGCAAATGTACATAACCCAGCTGCCAAAGGTGCTTGACAAAATCCAACCACTCGGTTTCCCTCTCCAAATCCAAATGGTTATCTATAACAATTATATATTCAGATGTCTGAAAATGTAAGTCCAAATTGTGAAATAAATCATAGGGCGGTTCGTCATTGCCCAAAATCAAAAAGAGTTTGTTGTCAGCTCCTAAATTATATTCAAGTTGGGTGACGTTTAAGGATTCCGTTGAAGTGAAGATCATGAGGTTAATAAGTGGCATATGTCGCAGATACTTGTACTCATATTTATGTAGTTTATCGGGTTGGTTGCAGTATAAAAAGTTTGTGGAGATAAGTAGACGCTTGTTTAGCTCATTTATAATATTGTTTAGACTTTGTGCGCTCATAAAAAGGATAGCAATAAATAGCAGATGCATCAGAAGTTTGGAAGATTGTTGAAGGATCATCTGAAAGACATGTGGAAGACAAAGAATCTTAAAAGTTTGGGTAAGAGATGTGTTGATTTGGAAGATGAAGATGTGGAATGAAAAGATGTTGAACAAATATATTTTAAAACTGAAAGATAGGTTATTAAATAGTGGTTAGTTAGAATGCGTTGTGATTCTGATCTTTTGATTAGAAATTCGGATATTTATTATTATATTATTATTATTATTATATTATAGATAAAGCCAAAATATTCATAAAAAAATAAAATTTTTGGGTAAAGGGTTTTTATAGTCATATATAAATGTTGTTGTTTTCTTTTTCTCATTATTTATTACCAACGGTGTTATAATCTTTGGAGGTTTTTGGATCCAAACGGAACATCAAATATTTTCTTAGGAGTAAGCAGACAGATTTCATAATATATAACAAGTAAAGTAAGTATTTGCTGTGCCGTATTATTATTCTCCAAATAAAGTTACACCTCCATCGGCACCCTTACATCTGTGGAGGGGACTCCATTTTTCGGCAGTCACGATCACTTCCGCCTTTGTCCAGTTCTTTTCGCAGTATCGTACTCAATTAGCACCGCAGATTGTTATGAATATACATGATTGGATTTTGTCTAATCGATTGCCCAACCTCATAAATATTCCATTCCACCTGATTGAGTCTGGGGCAATTAACACTCCAACACGATCCCACCCACGCATCCTCGGCGGCAATTGGGGCACTTTACTTGACTGGTACACACAATGATTTACTGCTGGGTACTTTAGGGTATATTTAGCTTATCCATTCTCATACGCGTGCAAAATCGGGGCTGATCGTGTCAATATTTTCGCGCAGAGACAAAGGAGCAGTCATGGGAAGCGGATGCCAACACGAATCCAGCGAGTGAATGGAAAATCACAAAGTCTGCAGCGCCATTTTCTCTCTATCTAAATATAGCAGATACATTCTGGCGCAGATCAAATCAGAATGCAGGTGAAAATCCCATATATATTCTTGCTCCTCTTCTGATTTGTGGCGCCTGATTAACGGTTGTCAGGAATTGTAATGGCTAACTACTGTATCTGTGGCATCCACATGACCGACACGGTTATATCTTTTGAGTAGGGTTGGCAAATTACGCGCTGAGATGCGTGATGAATGCCCCACGGACAGCTGGTGGGAATCGAATTTGAATGTGCAAGCCGGCCTTCTCGTTTTTGGCCACGTTCAGTGGGTCAATGTGCTGGTGGTCTTCGCGAAAGTGGTAATTAGCGTTGGCTAATTATAACGGAACAGGGTGAAGGATCTCTGAGGCGATTCAGCTGTCAGCAAGATTTTTTCGGAGTGATCTTCTGGGTTCTGATTCTCGTTCTTTGTTAAAAATGGGAATATTTATTTCCTCATTTTCACATTTAATTAACATCTTTTTATTTTACATGTATGTTTAACAAAATTGGAGTTTTTGATATAAAGAGATTATATAATCTTTTTATAAGAATCTATTTTAAAGAGGTTTTTGAAAATGAGAACCACTAATATTTCTGGAAACCACATTTTAAGATGTTTTTGAAGTACCATACAACTTTTGATATAATATTATTTGTTCTATTATATAATATTTGAATTCCCAAAACACCTCAACACATCAATAAACTTCATCTACTTTTTCTTTAAATAATAGTATTTTGAGGATTAATTTCTTAACTGAAATGTTGATTTTATTACTTTTTGTAATATGATATAACTAGTTTACTCTAATAGTAAACTAATAGTGTTTATCTGTTAGTTTTTAATTAATTTTTCTGCCCCATCTTTAACTTTCTTTGGCTCCATTTAGCACCACTCAACATTCCTTTAAATTTCCCACTATCCCCTTGAGATGACTCATACGCACAGTAGTCCGCGCAACCCATTCCCCTTGCAATAAAGAGCAAATAATTAATAAGATAAGCAAAAGCACTTGCACGAGCGCAGATCCAGCCTGGGGCTGAAGGTCAAACTAATAATGATTTAGATAATCAAAGAGTGGCAGAAACCAAGGAGCTGGCCCAAAGACTCGAGACCAACTGCAATGCGAAGCACTTGAACCTGTTGCTACTACCAAAGGCATCTGATTCTCCTGCTGAAAACCAAACAAAACGAACGGGGAGCGCCGTCGCGGATGCTTCACTGTGTTCCTGCTCCAGTGCAGACTGTAGAGACTGGCAAAAGTCGGATCATCCAGCCAGGCAGACCATAAATACCAAAGGGTTACGCCTATTTTTACACGCAGCGGAGTGCATTTCCTCGTACTTGGGCCATGAGCGCACAAATATTAAAACGATGCGACGTGACAGATTACAAAACGTTTGACACCAGCGCCAAAGCCGCCAAGATGATGCCCCCAAAAAGAGGCGGGAGGAGATGGGGGTCCATGGTCCAGAAGACGAGGGCCCCGAAGAGGGAGCCACCGCCAACAGAAGAAGCTCGAGCAGATGAAGCTTGAGCAGAGGCCAAAACTGCAACTGCAGTCAAGCAGCAGCCACTTGCCACACGACGATGACGAAGACGAGCGCTGCACAGTGATTAAAGTCTCACAAAAAATTGGTGAAAATATATTAAAATATTTTAATACTAATGATTATGAAACTTAAAGTATTTATTTATTTGCTACATCTGCGGAGCTTTTTTGTAACCCAATTGCCCCGAATAAGTTATAAATGATATTAAATAAAAATTTAATTTTTTTGAAAAGGATTTCATAGCTTTTCAATATAAACTAAACTACTGAAGGATCATATTAAAAATTGAATTTTTTTAAAAAGGTATTAAATATATATAACCTATACTACTGAAGGATCATATACCATTTAAAAGGTTCAGCTTTATTAAAATTTCTTGAGAAATAATTTTATATCATATATTATATTACATTAATAAGAAATGTTATATTCATTTTCACTTAACATTTTTTTATTTTAAACACTGGTAAATTCACTTCTGAAGTAACAAACCATCTTTTCTTTTAATTTTTCAGAGTGGTTATAGCTGAAACCTTTTTGGAAATTAGTTCCTTTTTTCCATTAGTAAAAGGACAGAGTTGACCAATTATTAAGAAACCCCGAACCACTGTGCATTGTTGCAGTCACGAGTTTGGCTACCACAGCGTGCACCACAGAGCAAAGAGAGTAAATTGCCTCCAGGCCATGGCTCCTCGACTGCAACTGGGAACCTGGAACTGGACTGGGTTGGCTGGAGATGAAGATGGTCTTGGGTTGGGGTATGACCATAGGGTCTCTGGGATTTTGTGGACGGAGGAGGAGGGAATATCTGGCGGGGCTTCGTGGAGAGCGCGCGTCACAAATTAATTCGCTGATGGCGAGCCTGTTGGGTTATGCTCTTGTGGCAAGATCGGCATGATTCCCACAGTAGTCCCTTTTATTTGTGGAGTGCTCTCGAGGATCTGCTCCTGCTTGTCTAGTTCACCTGCAACGGAGCAGCGGTTAAATGCGGAGGCCGTATCTGTGTTTGTTTGCATCAGTATCTGCTCGAACGTCTGCTTCTGCGTCTGCCACTCGTGAGTTATGTCAGTCAGTCAGACAGAACAGAACGGACCTGATCGGGTCCAGACCAGACTGGACCAAGGGGTCCTCTCTTCCACTTGAGCGTGCAATTTTTCTAATTCACATCCCAGGAATCCCAGTATCCAGAATGTAGAATCCAGTATCCACATCCAGTCGAGAGTCGCGCAGCGGGCGCATCGCGTAATTGACTTGGAAGTTATGAACCTTTAAATGTGGGATCCCTGGATCCGCAGTCGAAACCATGGTCATGTAATTTTAATTTTCTCACTTGATTGCCCCGCAAAGACTGGCCAGCCGATTGCCATTCATATGGCCATTGGCTCCTGAACTTGGTTAACTTGGCCAACAGGATGGCCAGATGCTACACGCAGTTGCACTTCAAGCTGAGTTGATTAGTTTGCCAGGCGGGGGCGGTTTGCATTGCTGAAAGATCATAGTTATCATTGGAGTGGGAATTGGAAGAGATGGTATCTTAACCCATCTAGATTCAGAAATAATTATGTTAGTAGGAAAACACATTTAAAGAATTTTTTTTATGTTAAAAGTTATTTTATTTTGTTTAATAGGTATATTAAAGATGTTTTTATAATAAGCTTAGAGTAATAAACCCCTGTAATTTATCAGAGCTCTAAAAATAGCCTCTTTAACTCAGACTTCAGTAGCTATGAACTAAAACACTAATTATATAGAATATGCAAATTGAATCAAAAGATTTTTGCGAAAACGGAACTAGATGATTATTTATTTTGGGTTTTTTTCGGATCCGGATTGATCTCACCTCATCTTTCGTTTCTCTCCACATCCTTTTTCTCAAAACGAACGTGAAAATCACGTTAGATTTGGTTATAATCACGAACCGTTGGACACCTGTTCTCTATATTTGTTTTCGGTGCTAATTAGCTTTAATGCCAATAAGTTTCGAGCCAAGTTCCCATGGTAGTGATCAGAGTCCACTAATTAGAGGAGGAATGCATATCTCGGTTCGGGGACAAAATGCAAATTTGAGTTAAATATCAGAAGGAGTCACAGCGCTAAATTCGTCAGCTTGAGATTTTTTCGGAATTCGGTGCTTTGGACTTTCGGTTAGTGGGGTATTGGTATTTATAAGCGAGAGAAGAGATTTTATAATCCGGTGTCGATGGCTGTGGCACTTGGCACTTGTGCGAAAATTGGTAAGGCAAAGCCCCGAATATTTCATTCAGCGTTTTAATATATTTTTTTGTTTTTTTTTTTTGTGCCACAGCAGCTGCCAAATGCTTGTAGCTATTGGCTCAATGAATTATGAGCCCGCTTCTTATAAGCGAGCAAACAGCATCGAAGTTGTGGGTGTCATGCGCTGTCCGCTTAATGAAAATGTTTGGCTCTAACTTCGCTTTTTGTTATTTTCGGTGTGTTATTGTGTGTATTTTCACCCGCCTCTGTTTTTTCTATTTGTAGGTGGGAAACGCCGATTTATTGCGCAT